AGCAGATTAAATTAAACCAAATAAAATTGACATACAAGAACCATAACTGATAAAACGATATATTATAATTTATATGAATTATAATTTGACATCCCAAAGGAATGCACTACAAACTTAAACAAGAAAAATAAGACGTCTGCATACTCACTTAAATTTGCATTTCTTCAAATAACTAAACGGATATTTTTGATTTATAAGTTTTCCAAATGTTCTTTTCTATTTTTGATTCCAATCATATTGCTTAAGCCACATCGACTGTTGGTGATCAAAGAAGTAGAAACCATCTTGCTTGACCGCCCAATTACACGTATTCGTGTCGCTAAAACCATGATTGCATGCCGAAGCCATGGTGATGTTGAACACATCAAATGTTTGTTCAACCATTTGTCGGTTAAAATGACAAAAAAAGAGAGTGCTCATCATGATATTCTCGCAGAAAGACCATCCATACCGAAGGTTTGTAGAATTAAGCACATGAACTCCGAGATTTGTATCTTTCGATTGACAATGCACCTCGACATTATCAAAAGTCATTTTTGTTATTATATCTACTGCATACCCCTTTGTAAAAAAACAAGCATTTGCAAATTTAAGAAGATTGAAAACAAAAAACGTGGATACAAAGAAAGAGAAAATTTTCATCATTATCTGTAACTCAAAAATCAAATAAAAGAAATACACATTCACGCTTACATACACACGTGTATATATATATATATATATATACATACATATATCATTTAATATTTGATATTATTATGATTTACACTAATGTTCCCATATTCATATGACTTTTTCTATTATTGACTTGTAAGAATATATATATATATATATATATATATAGAGAGAGAGAGAGAGAGAGAGATTTATACGAGAATGATAACTAAATAAAAAAATAAAAGAATAATTTTGGGCCAATCATTTATTTGAATAATATATTAAATAAAACTTTTTAAAAATTGTCCAAACGAGGCATATGTATCATTTGTTATATATGATTATATATGGAAATTTATTTATTTAGATTATTTAATAGATTTAGTTAAGTTATTTATTTATGATTTTTTTTATAGTTTTCATTGAATTTCATTTATTTATTTTTTATTTTGTACAACACTTGAATAAGTATGAGTTTTTCATTTAAAATATTTATTTTTATTGAAGTATTTTATTTCATTTATAATTTTCGTCAAAAATCATATGTGATATCCACAATTAATCGATTTTTTTTTCTTTCAAAAAACGAATCATTAATTTTCGTCAATGTATTATATGTGGCATCGATTACAGCGAAAAAGATATGTAAGTTATCTACAACATTACATGTGAGATGTGTAAATTACGAATTACGTTTTAAAGTACATGTGATCTTATACATTTTAAATGTGTTTTGCTATACATACCATGTGATTTTGTTTTCATTATTTTTCTTTTTCAATATTTAATTTGAATCATTTTTTTTTCAAGCTTTAAATCATATATGATTAGAAAAACAGTTTGAATTTTTTTTATTAAGTGTGAATCACATGTTATTTTGATGAAAATTATATTTTTTTTATAAATATTGCTTAAAATAAAAAATAAATTCTTTGAATAAAAATTAAATACGCTTATTTGAAATGTTCAAATATAAAATATTTTTTTTAAATTACAAATTAAATCATATTAAAATCATAAATATGGTAGAAATAGAATCTTAATTAAATGTCTTAGATAACCTTTATATAACTAAATTACATCTTTGTCTTCATTTATTTATTTTTAAAAATATAATATTGAAGGTATTATTTAATTAAATGTATGATCCATATTTATTACTTATTGTCTTAAATACGTATTATTCTTATATATGTATGTATGTATGTATATGGTATTTGAGTATTCCGATAAAAAATTAAAGATATTAATTACATTTAATATAATATTATTTATTTCTTATAAATATTTAAGTGCAAAGACTTTTATTGTTAAGAATAATACTATATCATTTTACACTTATAAGAGCATCTTTAAGAAAATATTCAAAATTTCTCAAAAATGGAGAATCAAAGTCAAAATCTTTAAAAAGGACATTAATTCAACTCCAAAAAGTTTATAATTTTGAAGATTATAACATTAATTGTATTATTAAAATATTCACATACAATTAATAAAACATTATTTTTGCTTTCCAAACATTTAATTATGATTAATCATTTTTTTGGAGAATTATTTAAATTTAGAGAATTTTATCTTCTCTCTCTTCTATATTCCCCATTTTGGAGAATCTAATATTGATTATAATATTAAAATATTTCATTCGTCGATTAAATATTATTTCTCTCCAAATATTTGTTTTTATTGGTGAAAATATTTTAATTTTAACAATTATTCAAGAATGGTAATCACTGATCTACCATCTCCGTGGGCGCTATGTTATCCGAACTCCCAGCATCAATGATCATCTTTTCACTGTCCAATTAGGACATAGATTCGGAATACAGCCTTCCGTCTCCTCCTCCTTTCTGCTGGCGTTGGCTCACATTGCCACACAATCTAACGACAGCGAAACTGCCTCCTCTCCAGAAGCGCGCCTTTTCTAACGAGTCATTCCACAACTCTAGTTTACATATTTCAGTGTATCAAATAGAATTGATATAAATTCGTGCAGAAGATGTGGAGGATTTGAAGTTGGAGTATATTATTAGTAATCCAAGTATACATCTGGTGAAAGGTTGGATTTCATGTATCTTTTCACTGCTTATAATTATATATATAAACAATTGGATTTTATAGCTACTTAATAAAATTCATTAATTTTTTACTAACTACTAAACTTGTGTCAGGTTGGATTTTAAATTTGCTTCATAGATCGTCTTGGCTAACTTGATACACATATATCATTTAATATTTCAAAAACTAAAAAAATGACAAACAAAAATGTGAATACTTTTATTATAATTTTGGTCAATAAAACATAAACATACATATACAAAACATTTGCATAATCGAATAACTTTTTATAATTTGTATCACATTTTTAAGCATTTGTATATACTTTTGGTCCATAAAACTTAAACATTCATATAATACTTATCAACTAAAAATATCCTCACTTTAAATCTTAAGAATAATTCATTAAATAAATTAATTTAAAAATAAAATTTCTTAATTATAGAAATATTATAATTATGGTGTTTTAATAAAATAGTATAAATAATAATAAATAAGTATGTTATTATTATTATTATTATTATAGCATTAAGATGTTTTTTTTTACTGTGTGGTTGGAGTTGATTTTTCATAACGTGTTAATGGCTCCATCATTTTTAGTGGTTGAGTTGAAGATGGATTAATCATATGTTATTTTACATTATGAAATTATATATATGAAAAAAACAAATTGTTTTGCAACATGAATCAAAATATGAACATTGATGATAATCGAATTGTAAAAGAAGACCACATACACTATGAAACAAATACATGCTTATACTTTAACATACAAAATAAAGAAAGAAGACCAAAATATGATCCACTTAATGACAAATGAAGTAGTTAAAAGTTGTAAGAGCATTTTCAATAAATTTTTCTAAAATACATAATCAAAAGTTAAAATATGTAAAACGAATTATATTCAATTCCAATAAATTCTCTATTTTAGAGATTTCAATATAAATTATATTTATTATAATATTCCTCTAACTTTATCATCCCAATATACCTTTAATTTTTCATATCTATACTATATTATAAAGTATTTGACAAAAACTCTTAAAAACCATTTTTTATGCATGAAGTACTGTTTATTGATGCATATTACTTAAATTTCAAGATTACAAGTAAATTATGCGTAAATACAACTTACTAAAGCTCTTTCTTTAAATTCGTATAACTAACTGCAGATAAACATAATCAAATATAGGATAAACATTTTATTTTAAATATAAAAAAATTAAAATATAATTAGGATAGTCATTGAGTTCTAACAGAATACTTAATTATTATCTTTCTAAAAAACTATATTATTAAACCAAAAATAAAAAAATGAATTGCAAAAGTACACAAGAAAACGAGAAATTTTAAATGGTTAGTTTGATATTTATATCATTATTTTTCCAATTATTTATTATATATGTATATTTATATTTTATTCAAAAATAAAAACATTATTATTTTATCAAAATCACATAAAACCGTATTATAACATCGACTGAGACAAAAAAAGAAATAAAACGAAACATTAAAATCGAGATTTATTTCGCTGCATTGTGCGAATACCTTTCTAGTATAAAATAATAATGATTCAATCCAATAAAATAATCATTTCTATATCCCTACATTAAGTTTTAGAGAATTTTCTAAACTTGAAGTTTTTCAATGTTTTTATTTTAGAGAACAATATAAAAAATATATTGGAACACTAGAGAAAAATAAAATCTTTATTTTTTGTATTTTAAAGAATTTATCGAAGATGTTCTTGATGGTTGAGATTAAAACCGAGTAAAAATACATAACGTAAAATCATATTTGCAATAAAAAACTGTAAATACTTGAATAAAAAAAAGGATAAAGCATGGAAAAAAATTGCAATTTACTCAAACTTAAATTTTTTTTAGAGCATTTTCAACAGTTTCTCTAAAATGAATATATTTTAGAGAATTTTACTCCAAAAAATTCTTTAAAGTGGCATTAAGTGGGAGAGAAATGATGAAAATTGATATTTCTCAAAAAATAGGAATTTTTTTTTTTTTTTAATATCTACCAACAAGAATTCCTTGAAATTAAATGTTTAAGACATAAATAATATGTTATGAATTGTATGGAATAGTTTAATAATATGAATGAAATTGTAATTTTTAAAATGGAAAAACTTTATCAAAAATTCTGTTGAAGATTTTGTTTTTGATTGTATATTTTGGAGAATCTAATTATACAATTATAAAATTCATATCAAATGTGAAAATTAAAGTTTTGAATTTTTTTCCTATTAAATGTGAAATTAAATGCTATATTTATAGAATATATTTTAAATTTAAGAAAATGTGATTATGTGTCACTCTCTGCGGCCAAAACCCTAGCTGTTTCTGTGCATCTTGATTGTATCCGGTAGGTTTACCAGTCTCGTGGCTTTGATCGTCGGTAGGTTTAATCGCTCTCCGTCTTCTTTGTTCCTTGTAATTTTGCTTCATCTTCCCCACATTACTGCCGGTTGTATGGTTATTGGCATCATTTGTTAATTGATAGATGGAATTCTTCGCTAACCCCTGATCACTAGTCCTCTGTTGGCTAATTCACATTTCCAAATTGCATTCTGATTACCTCTAAAACTTGTTTCCACTTTTTCCTAATAGCTTATGATGTAATCAGTGCTTTATGTTGATGTACCTTCTAAATTGAACTTCAAATTTCGTAGTCAGCCATCCCAGAAAAAATAGAAGAGAATCGTATCACTTGTAATTTGTTTAAGTTTTAAAGATTCATTTTTTTGGTAATAAGTTTTCTACCTGCATTGAATTTATGAATGTTGAAACATTTTGTCAGTTTAGTCTTGTTGAGTGAGAGTGGTTAATGCAATGCTTGTTGAATTTCTTGAATCTTTATGACTTCTTATTCTGTTCTCCTTGTAAGGTCAATGTCTTGCTAGGTCCAAATGTTAAGAGTTTTGTCTTGCTATTGATGATTCATTGATTCTGTTTTCCTTGTTACCTCTTGATTTACTGTTATTGATTTTGCTTTACTTCGTGTTCTAGATTCTTAGTGCCCCCCTGATTTTTTGTGCTTAATTTAACTACTCTGTGTCACTCTCTGTCTATGTTTGTATGCTCCTCTGATAAACATGAGTGTTCTTGTGGCTCGTAGTAAGGTTGAAACTTAAAACCAAATTTTCTTTGGTGGTTTAAAACTAGGCCATCATATGGTCGTAAGATGATCAAGTCTCTTCTAAGATGTGGTGCAAGTATAAACAAGAGACATTGCCTTTCATTCCTTCCTTTTGTTCTTCTTCAAACTCAGGGAAAAAGCACAACGAAAGGGAAGTTAGAAATTAGTGGATAAGTAAAATGAGAAATAAAGGAAACAAGAAGTAATGGGTTATTGCAATAAGAACTTCAACTCATTCAAGCTATCAAATTGTTTTTGATTCAAGTTATACTCTTGATTAATATTTTGAATTTATCAACAATTTAGTAAGATAAAGAGCCTGCTATGGAATTTAGGTCATGGAAAACAAGAAGAATAAGAAAAAGTCGTAATGTTGGATTTATCTGAATTCAACTTCATATCATTTAAGTTCATTATAAGTGGCGTCATGGGGGTGTTTATACGATGTTTGGGAAGTAACGAAATGAATCAAGGATAAGTTAGAATAACTTGAATTTTCCAAATGAAAACAGAAAGCTTGGAACGAATGTGGACGGCAAAACCATAAGGGATATGACATAGGCCATATGTAGCATGCCCAAGTCATATGAGATACGACATAAGGGTATTACATTGTGGCATTACTTAGGGTGGATTGTTGTTTATGCCATTGTATGAAGTAATTTTCTCGTTGTTCAAGCACAGAACATAAGGGTATTATATTACGTGTTGGAAGCAAAAATGTGAAGATATTCTGCCTTCATAAAGATGGTCAAGGGATTTGCTAAGTTGTGACTAATGAGGGAGAAGAATGAAAATTCTCACAGGTATGCTAGAAGAAGAGGTTGTATGAACATCTCTCTGCTTTATTAGGTAGAAGTCAATGGATCAAGTGGAGTCCCATGTTTTGTTGTTGTTGTCGCTAGGGTGATTAAGACCATGTTTTGCTTCTTATGGGAAGGAACAGTTACCAGGATAACTCTCAAGTTAAACTGGATCTCATATAAGCTTTAGCTAGTAGGTGAACCTGTCCTATTGCTTAGAAGTGGTTTTGCAATTCAAAATGTGAATTGCTGGTGCTCACACCCTTTACATGACCATTTGTTGCTCTTGGTTGTTCTAGCCGGAAGGCCAGGATTATTAGGTTGGAGGTCATAGGCACAGATCTCTTAATTCATAACTCATAAGACACCAGCCTAAGCAAGTCTTGGGGTGTGGAGTATTTTTAATGGACTGGCTTCAAGTCAAGGTGTTGGTGATTTTAGTGAATCATTGGTTCACTTTATGTAATTGGATTCATAAGAGAATATGGGGTCGTTAGTTAAGCTATAACACGGACTAGGGTCGCAGACTTGTGCTAATTTGTATTGCTCTCAATCTTTAATTTTGTTGAAGGTTGGTCAAACAATTTATTCCCTTGCCAAAAGAAATATATTAGAAATTTCAAATTTAATTGAGATCAAAACATGACAATATTTTGCATATCCATTCCATATATATATGTATGTGCCTCCGACAACAGATATGCAACTGAACATTTTGACTGGAGAACAATGTTTAAGTGAACTTGTGAAAGGTCAAATATGTTGATTTATTTATGGTTGTGTGACCTTGCATTATGGCTGTGATAGATAGAAAATTGGACCTACTTTTGTCCAGAGAAAGTAATCAAGAACAAAATTCCATTGACATATTCTATCTTTAGAATTCGCCTCTTAGTTTTATGTTGTTGCATTTAGATATATGTTTTGTTGTTTGTATGTCTCTGATGATTTCCTTTGTAATTATGGTGATTGAAATTTTACGTGTTTACTAATTCCTACTGCACTCCAGGATTTGCTGTCTCATGGAGAGCTCCGATGATGAGAAAGATGGCCACTATGGTAAATGCATGGGCAATGGACCAAGGCCTACCTCTGCCAGTGGTACAAAATTTGTAGATGATGTTCTCAATGGTACCAATGAGCGTTGTTTAGAGAACTTTCGCATGGACAAACACGTTTTTTATAAGTTGTGTGACATATTACAAGCTAAAGGTCTACGCCACACTAGCCGAATAAAGATTGAGGAGCAATTAGCCATATTTATGTTCATTATTGGCCATAGCCTACGTACTCGGGCAGTACAGGAGCTGTTTAAGTACTCCGGGGAGACCATTAGCCGCCACTTCAACAATGTCCTGAATGCAATAATGGCCATTTCTTTAGACTTCTTTCAGCCTCCAGGTTCTGAAATTCCTCCAGAAATCCGTGATGATCCAAGATTTTACCCTTATTTCATGGTAATTTAGCATCTATAAATCACTTGATGATCCAATATTGGTTTAGAATTCTAATTACATTTGTCATGTGTAATATACTAGGATTGTGTCGGAGCTGTTAATGGTATACATTTCCCGGTAATCGTGGGTGTAGATGAGCAAGGACCTTTCCGTAACAAAAATGGTGTTCTTTCACAAAGTGTTCTGGCTGCATGCTCATTTGATATGAAGTTCCGTTATGTTCTAGCTGGTTGGGAGGGCTCAGCGTCAGATTTACGAATTTTAAGTTCAGCTCTTACAAGGCGAAACAAACTCGAAGTCCCTGAAGGTGATTTCAATCTTCCACATTTGTTCTAATGTGCATTCTTAGATTCTAAAATTATCTTTCTTTCTTAGAAAGAGATACCTTTTTGATCAAGTCCACATGGACCAAAGTTCAATCTCAAAATTGATATTGGCACTAAACCCCCCCTTCGGATTTTTAGACAGAAGAAAATGCAAATGTTGGTGTGGCCTTGGATCTACACTGAAATCCATGTCAATTTTAAGTTTGAAAGCTATAGGTCTTACGTAGAAAGTAAAGAATACCTCTTTCAGAGTAGGATCGGTATCATGTGGAACAGAACAAAACAAAAACTTGTTGTCCCATGTTTGGTGTGACAATTAGACTAGAACAGGACTAAGTCGACAACAATGCTGTTTTTTTGTCCCACCAAGTGGAACCAAAATCATCGAGATGAGACAAGATAGATAAATTACTAAATACTCGTGTTAAGTTAAAACCTTGTACAATTTTTTCACCCGCCTACCTCACTTTCACTAGTCCAGTCTGTCCGTGTACCAAATGCAGCCTGAACGGAGGGAGCAAATTCTTGACATATCAATTTGATTGTAACGTCATTCAAGAAATCTTGTTGGGTGGATGTAATGCAGGTAAATACTTCCTTGTGGATTCCAAATATGCAAACATTCCAGGGTTCATAGCTCCGTATGTAGACGCTCCAAATGGGTTAGTTGAATATGAAGGAGGATTCCAACCACAAGATGCCAAAGGGTTATTCAATCATCGCCACTCGTTATTGCGAAACATCAGTGACAGAACATTTGGGGCTCTAAAAGAACGTTTTCCCATATTGATGTCGGCTCCTCCTTACCCTTTAACAACACAGGTGAAGCTGGTGGTAGCAGCCTGTGCTCTACACAATTACATCCGCAACGAGAACCCAGATGACTGCATCTTCAAAATGCATGAACATGAAGAAGGTTGTGTTCCACAATTACTTGATTTTGAAAAGCCAGAGATGATGGTGAGTGAAATGGTGGACATAGATGTACCCTTTAATGCCCAAGAAATACAAGATACTTCACAATTGAGAGACTCCATTGCTGCTGAGATATGGAATGATTATGTTCATGATTTCCCAATAATCTAAGCTACCTTTGTTTATACAGCTTTTCTTTTTGCTCTTTGGTTTTAGCTTTAGATGGTACATATCTAACTTGATGTACTCTTTATTGATTCCATGAGAATATATAATATCAAATGGTAAAAGGATTTCTATATGGGTTTGCTTTTTAGAGTTCACCGGTTCAAGTCTTCTTAGCTCGAGGGTTTGTCTTAATTTCATGGCTTTGTGATAAGTTGGTCTGGATGTATATGGTTATAAAGTGATTTTTTACTTGGGGGCTGTTTGCCATCACAAACTGGACATGGATTTACTGCGTAAGGATTACCACCTCCACTTAACTTACCGGATAGAATTCTTGGTCATCAAAATAACATAATATCATACCTGGTACCGGGGTAAAATATCTAGTTAGTAAAATAGCAAAGTAATATTATTGATAAAAATAGTTAGTAAAATAGCAAAAGTAATATTATTGATAAAAATAAGAGGTGATAAATATTATTTGTCCTTTCTCAAAGTTTATCATCCATAAGGGTGTGTTTGGTATTCAAACAAGATAGAACATGACAGAACAATTGTTCAGCGTTTGGTAAAATGGAACTGGACATGACAAAGCATATCAAATGACCAATTTATCCTTGATGTGATGTTTATATCTTTTATTTATTTTGATTAATTTATGCAACTTATTAAATTATAATAAAATAAATATTTTTATAACAAAACATACTATTAGAAACGTCAAGACAATTAAAACGATACCAAAATAAAAAGTTTATTTAGTTTTCAAATTTTATCTTATACATTTTCTATATAAAATTATAATATTTAATAGACTACATAAATTAATTAAAATATAGATTTTATATAAAAGTAATATTTTGAGAACAATAAAAATAAAATGGAAGACATATTTGATGTTTTAGAAGAAAATTAAGTTTGATCTTCAGGATTATATCGATAAAATATAATTTTGAAAGAAAAAAAAAATGGACATAGCAAACACCGGTCTAAGAGTCCAACTTTCTTAATCGTCGTACGATGCCGTATGGATATGGATATTTCATATTTGTTTCTCTTGGCAAATATATGTGGCGGAAAAATATTATTATTGCTTCCACTTACACCACCAATACCATACCATACCATACCCATGGCTGTTTTCAGTGCCAGGCTCTGCTCGTTCCCCTTACAACGATCTATTATTTCAGCATCATCTTCTAAAGGTCTCCTCTGTGAGTTGTGCGTTTTTCAGAGCAAAATTGTTTTCAAATTCTAATGTGTTCGTTTGATGATAACTACAGATACAAATGGGAGTTCAGTAAAACTGAGAGACGACTGGAGACAGCGATCCAAACCCATACCTCCTGGCGGCACCTACCCAGCCAAAGACCAGTGCAGGTCCTCACTAATCTCTTTAACATTTTATTTTTTTTTGAAAAATGTCTTTACTTCAGTATTTGTCTAATGTTCTTCGTTTTTAGTAGTTTTATGATATTTTGGGTACTAAACAAGAATTAGGATTGCAAAATTCTTGTTGTTTATGCAGCAAGTGTGGGTTGTGTGATACTTACTACATTGCTCATGTCAAGAATGCTTGTGCTTTTTTGGGAGATGGGATGTCCAGAATTGAAGTGAGTTTACTTCTTCCTGATACTCTCTCCAATCCATCCTAGATATCCATTTTATGATTATTATTTCTCCCAAGAAAAGTTCTATTCAAAACTTAACATTTAGACAAGTACTCCCTCTTTTAAATATTTCACAAAGAAATGATAGTGTTCTTTATCATTTAGACAAGTACTCCCTCTATTGTTATCATTATCATTCCTATTCTCAGGAAGGAGTAGTATTTTTTTAAATTTTGAAAAAAGACCCTGCAACTGCATTACTGAGAACACTATGTGGGCGTTTGGTTCGCATAATGGAATTTTGTGGAATTGAAATCCATCAAAGGAATTTGACAAGGAATTTGACTTTGAGGGAATTGAATGGAATTTGATAGAATTTGACCACGCCTTTAGTTGTTAGGAATTGGAATGGGATCTCTTTAGAGAATTGGAATCTCCATCTTTGTTTGGGGGACGGTGGGGTGGGGGTTGTGACAGAGACAATAGTGGCGTGGTGGTGGGGAGGCGTGACAATGACAAGAGTAGCACGGTTGTGGTGGGGGTGTTGGTTAAAGTGGATGCAAAATGATGTAATTTCTATACCTTCACTTATGCCAACTGCCAAGGAATGATAATTCATTAATTTGTGGAATTTAAAGGAATTCAATGGATTCCATCCATTTCAATATGTGAACCAAACAAAGGAATTGATCATTCCAATTCCTTTGAAATCCTTTGAATTTTTGCGAACCAAACAACACCTGTATTTCTAAGATAGGAATAATAATGACAACATGGGAACAATATATCATTTCTTTGTGGAACTGAGGGAGTGAGGCATGTGAGGACCCATCTGCAATGAAATTGTAGAAGTGGTGGTGGCACTTATCTTTTTTTCAGAAAAAAGGAAGACACCGAGAATATGTAAAAAGCAGTGTAAAACTCTTATCAAGTGTTTGGAGCATCCATGGTGGAGTGGAGATGATAAAAGCAAGTGAACGTTGTAGTAGATAATTCGAATGCATCAAATAGGCCAGGTTTTGGCTTGTGACTTAATATGTAATTGAAAAACCTACATGCTTTGGTGGAAACTTCTTGTTCTCACATAGTTATCTATGTTGCAACAGTATTACATTATGAATGTGACATTTCGTAAAATATGTGTTTTAACCTGTTATGTTCTTTGCTTCAGGGGCAAGAACAAGTGGTTCATGGTCGAGGTCGGAATATTGATTCATTAGATGAAACATACTTAGGTGTCCATCAAGAGCTACTGTATGCTCGTAAGACAGAGCCTGTTGAAGGTAATATTTTGGGGCATTACCTTCTCATGAGAAAATATACCTTTGGGTGTCAATATAATCTTTATTCCTGTATATTTATTATTTTTAAGCCCTTACCCAAATATATATGCAAGCATTATGTCCATACAAAGGGGAACACACTTTCTTTTCCTTTTCCAAAATGGAGAAAACGCTATCTTTAACTTAAGTTGTTTACTCTTTAAGCCGAAAAATAATCTGCAGACCTGATTATTCCCTTCCATTGATTTATGATCGTAGGAGCTCAATGGACAGGGATAGTAACAACTATCGCAATTGAAATGTTGAAATCAGGCATGGTTGAAGCTGTTATTTGTGTTCAGAGGTAGTAGAATATCACAATATAATATATCTATTTACAAGCTTATTAAAGATGCTTTTTTCATTATGTGGTAATTTGTGATACTGTTTCAATGAGTTCTTGTTTGAATCATGAAAGCGATCCTGACGATAGACTATCCCCAAGACCTGTTTTGGCAAGGTATATGAAAAAATTCATGCTGATTTTTTCAAAGTTGCACAGAGCTGATGAAAACATAATCCCACACCTTTTCAATATCTTTTTCTGTGTTTTCCATTGTAATAGGACCCCTGAGGAAGTTCTAGCAGCAAAAGGTGTTAAGCCAACATTGTCTCCTAACCTTAATACACTTGCTTTAGTTGAGGTAATCCGTCACCCCTCCCCATTCTTGGGAGAAAACTAACTCGCATGAGTTTAGCGCTTCAACCAAGCATCATAAGAGTTGTATGCTTATTTTTTTCTTACATATTGTTTTCCTTGTAAGACAGGCAGCGGGTGTGAAGCGTCTACTTTTCTGTGGTGTCGGGTGCCAAGTACAAGGTATGGCCCGCTGTGTTTTAATCTGGGAATATATTTTCCCCTTAATTTACTTCGTTCTTGTAACTTCACTTTGGTAATGCAGAGTAGTTTCTTAACCTGCAGCACTACGATCAGTGGAGCAACATTTGAACTTGGACAAGCTTTATGTGCTAGGGACTAATTGCGGTTTGTACCTTTTTTGTTACTAGGCAAAGCATTTTGATAACTACCCATATCAATGTTCTTTTGACTGGCCATGAAGCATGAATGCTGATATGGGAGATGGCTTATTTCGTGTTTGCCAGATATGGCTTGAATTACTAACACTTCCTGATGTGCATGTGTTTTGCAAAATGATGCGTTTCTAGTTCTTCATGATATATGATTGAATGCAAGATCTTATCTCTTTGATATTACAGTTTGCTTCATTTTCCATGGGTGTATCTTACTAACATTTTGTTTATAATTTGTGTTGTAGTGGATAATGGAACACGAGATGGCCTTGATAAGTTTCTAAAGGCTGCTAGTACAGACCCAGAAACAGTTCTCCATTATGAGTTTATGCAAGATTATAAGGTATTGACAGTCATTATACTATCTGCAACAACTCTAATATTATTACTTATCATGCCCCCAGCTTCTCTCTTCCTTACCCCCTGTTTAAGGACTTAAATGAGTTCCGAGATGATTGTACACATTTGTTATGACATCAATTTATATGTGACATTTGTAGTTTTAGCATGATGAATTGAAGTTCACGAGTCTTGAAATATAGTCTGTTATTTCATTGAGAATCGAGGCTGCATATTAAAAAGTCTTAGGGGGCTGTTTGGTTGGTTCCATTAAGTCCTGTATTGATAAAGTGTCTGTGTGGATTAATCTGTCTGTATAGATTGAGAAGGTTTTTGTTTGGGAGGGTTTTTTCATAGAAGGAAGGAGCGTGTTCTTTTAATTGGAAGGGGAAGGTCTGGAAAAAACTTGGCTTTCTCCATTACACTCCTCCCTAGTACTTACTGAATAAGCCACTTTCTATATCATTAAGCCACTACCAAACTGTTACGTATAGCTGACTGAATAAGTTGTGAGTCTCATTAAGCTCCTTAAGCTACTAACAAACATGCCCTTACTCTGTTTGCTTACTTTCTTTACTTATCAATATCCTCTTAAATATGATGATTCCTGTGTTATCTACAATGAGTAGAGGGTCACCTTTTTGTTCTTGATGCATAAAGATATAACCTTTGGTTACATTATTTCATGCTTGATAGGTCCATTTAAAGCATTTGGACGGTCATATTGAAGAGGTATAGGGCAAATAATCTTTCACATTGTCTTTTGAATCCAATTAGCATTTTGTTTCATCCAACTTTAAATTTAACTAAAGCAGGTTCCATATTTCTCTCTGCCAGCAAATGATTTGGTTGATGTTATAGCTCCATCCTGCTACAGGTAATTACTTCTACACGTTTCTTTAATCTGCAGAGAGGTCCCAAGAGCAATTAAAGATTCTATTCTTAATGCTCGTTCTTTTGCTGTAGTTAATAAATATGCTGCACCTTTCTTTCTGTTTTGCAGTTGTTTTGACTACACAAATGCATTAGCTGTAAGGTCTTTTTTCTGTCATTAAAGGGGACACCGAAAAGACAATGTTCTATAGTTTTCAGTGTCCTAGAAATCAATGTTTCACTAATTGGCTATTCAGGATTTGGTGGTGGGATACATGGGGGTACCGAAATATTCTGGAATCAGCATGACACAACATCCCCAATACGTTACAGTGAGGTGAAGAATGGTCTCACACCTCTTTATAGTTTCTGTTGTGTTCCATTTTAGTCTAACCCGCCTACGTTAGCTTAGAAGTGATCATTCAACTTGCAGAAATGAACGTGGAAGAGAAATGCTGAATTTGGTGAAGAATCTATTGGAGATCACCCCTACTACAACTGGAGTAAAATGCTAATCTCTTTTTGTTATGTGGACTTTCATTTCAGATGCAAGTAATAACCAGAATTGTTTACTTCAGGGGGAGAGACGTCCTTTTGTTATGGAAACTGTGAAGGCAGACGATAATGCTAAGCTTGGTATTATCGTATCTTATCTCTTTTCTTATTATAGTAATCCTGAGCCTTAGAACACAAATGATTCATTAGAAATTTATTACATATCAGAATTTGTGGTGCCTTGACTTCTGTTGTCTTGCTCTAGAAACTTGGTTCATTATGTTTTATATATTTTCCCCATTCTCAGGAAAGGGTCCTGCTCAGCCTGCTCCAAAGTTCATCGGAAACATTATTGCATTTATTCTAAATCTAGTAAGAGTTTTTGTGAAACTATAAATTAATACAAAACACAAAGCATTCTAACTTGCTTTTGCCTTTCCAGATTGGGCCAAAAGGTCTGGAATTTGCGCGCTATTCACTGGATTACCATACCATCAGAAACTATTTATATGTGAATCGCACATGGGGAAAAGAAAGGTATATTTCTGAAGTCTTTTCTGCCCAGACAAGTAGTGAGAAGTTGCATTTGATTTCATAATCTGATGAATGCAGAGCTGATAAACACATGCCATCATATGCAAAGAAACTTGTGGCCATGTATAATGAGAAGGGTGAGATTGATCAGATCCTTTCTAGCAAATGATGATTTTGATGGGAAATTTGGGGATGTTTTGATGTGAGTGAGGTCATGGCCACTTGATAGAGATCTTAAAAATGAAGCCAACATTTTGCACATGCCCTTATGGCCACATTTGGTCATAAGTTGTGTCTAGTAAAGATTTGTATCCGGAAACAGAATGTCAAAAAACATTAGATGTCCATCTCTGCATGTTTTGAATCTACAGTATGGGCATTCATGTGGGTTGTCTGTATCTATAATGATAAATACTTGATGGGGACAGGTAGAAGCCATCCAACATTGAGTAGTGAAGAAAAATTTGATTCAAGTTTCTTGTTAGTGACTTGTTAGTGTCAAAACAATAGATCCAACTTTGGTCATGAGTGTCTGAATGATTTTGTTTGACAATTGCGACTTGTTTTTGGACTTTTAAAGTCTTAATGGAAACAACTACTCTACTCTTTGTGGTAAAGGTCAGATGTACATTTACCCACCGCCATACTTTGAATTGAGATTTAATAGGTCTGTTTGGTAAGGTCTTGACTGTCGAGTAGACGAGCCATGATCGTTTAAGTTAAGTTATAGAAACATGGGTTTGACTTTGTTTCTTGTAAAGAATTATGTTGACTACCCATATAAACCAACTTGATAAAAAATGTTATCTAAGCTGTGTCCTTTTCCCATATATAAAAATTGAATCTTTTATAATAAGGTTGGTGCAAGCCAACATAAGTTTGATCTTACTGTAATCATAATAAAAGCAAGATTGCCGACCCATAAATGGGGTTTGCAAGTGATTAATGAATAAGCATCCATTTACAAGAAAAGAGGGAAAGTGGTTATAAAGTCCTTCACTTCAACCCCCTTTAATTTCAATTGCAGACAAAAGATTTCCAAAGAAGTCAACATGGTAACACATCATTTCATAACAATGGCAAGTGAGACTTTGTTCTTAAGTCAAAGTCAAAGGGATCATACATCATGTTAAAAAATGGTTTACAGAAGTCAAAGGGTTATAACTTTAAATACAAGTCAAAGGGTGGTTGTAATTATCTTGTTTACTTCCATAACTTTTATTTTTCTTAAGTAATGATAACTACATTATGCCAACCATTTAATCCCCACTTTGTCTTTTTCCATGTTGTCAAAATTGTTTTTCTCAAAACTTCATAAAAAGTCAACATAATTAACTAAAAGTCATATTGCACTAATCACAAAATTAAAATTTCTAAAGGAATTTGTATATAATGTGGACATGTGTCATCTCATTCTATCAAAGAGGAGCAAACCAAAGATGGTGAACCAAAAACAAAAAGAAAAGAAAAGTGAGAAAAAATATCGAGTATATATATTCAAAACATATATAAAGCATGTAATTTAAAATACACATGGTAAATAAGGCAAAAAAAAAAACACATTCCTAACCTAGACAGCTAGAAAAATGGAGTTAGAGATGCACAAACCGATCGACCCTCAAACTAGTCCCAACCTCCCAGTAACTCGTCGCAATCTAAATTGGTCTTCACGAGAAAACACCTTAAATCTTAATTGATTATAACTGTTCCCACTCGTCCATTCACTAGTATTTTTTTTGTCACTTCTTTAATAAAATTTTGGTTTCCGGCAATTTCTTGGTTCAAAAACTTTAAAATATGATGTTTCTTTCGTGTGAATTGTATTTGTATATGGTATTACGAGATATTTGTTGAATTCCTAGAAAAGTTTAAACTTTTTCTTAAACTGTATGATTAAGTTGTATTTAGCAAGACAAAATTAGTTTGATAAAAAAAAAAGAAAAAAAGAAATTTGAATCTATTTCTTTAACGAGTCTTGTAGCATAATTGCCTCACTAGTCCGGCATCCCCTTACTTGGTCCCAAATGTCGTATGTCTGGATGGTGCTTGTGTTATGAGATAGATTCAACAAGTATAAGAAAAGAAACGGTGGACCCATTTACCATATGAATTGGATCACTTTTGGTCCACTTCTATTTATTACAATTATGGACCCTTTTGTTGTGTCTTCACCTCACTCCTTACAAAAAGGGGGTATATTTGGAATGTTGCATATTTAATTTGTAATATAATATGGGTGAGTTTAGTAAATCCTTTTATAAAATGTGACAACATAATACCCATATTTATATTATATAAGACAATAAATCAAAAAATAAACTTTTGACATGACTTTGGTCATAGGGTAATCGCATGAACATAGTAAGTTCATAAGTGTTCTTGCTATTTTCATAAAATGATACGGTTCTTTTTTGAACATGTCTTTATAAGAATATGTCTTATTATAACATGTAATTCAGTATTAAAAATCTCATTATTTGTAAATATTATACAACAAAATAGAAATACAAAAACATTAGTAATTAGAAAAAAGCCTCATCATCCTTTTTTTTTTCTGTACAAAATCCCCGAAAGGACCCTAGGCTCTAACCGGAGAGGGCTGCCCTCACTTTTTTCTTTACCTTTGTTAACATTTTTTGACGGTCAACTTACCACAGTAAAAAAGTCAAAAAAAAAAAAAAAAAAACTTTTTTTCTTCCTACTTATTGCATCTTCGATCACATGAAACGGTGACGTAATGGTTGGTTTGTGATCTGGTTTCTTGATTCCAAGTTTTGGCAATGTCTTGTGAGACTCTAATGGCATCAAAAGATGCACCAGACAGACCTTTCTTTGTGAACCCAACTGCATATAGCCCTGATTTACCTTTCCACCCTTCTGGAAACGGCGTCGTTGGCATCCCTTCTCCTGAAAACAAATCATTTTCCTGTATAGAAAACACACAAAATGGAACTCATTACACCAAAGGGTATAATTGGTATTTCAGTTTCTTTAGTTGAAGAACCTATAAAGACCAAAACTACCAGAAGTCAATCTCTTTGCTTGAAACAGACTTGACATCAAATAAAATTAAAAAAAAGAAAAAAACAGAGTATCTAGTCATCTACAAGAAATCCAACTTCCATAACTGTCACATGAATCGATATACTCTTCAGATAATATATATATATATATATATATATATATACATTTGTTTCTTCTGGAGATAAAGACTAAATTTTATAAAAGCTGTTACCTTTAGCCATGAAGGAACGTTGCTGCAATACCCAGTTGCCAAAATAACTGAATCTATTTCAAGATTTTCACCATTGACGAGCTCGACAAGACCCCTTGAAAACTTCTTGATTCCAGGAACTATCTGAATTTTCCCAGATTTGATTTTCTTTAATGCACCAATATCCAGAACAGGGGTTTTGCCATGGGTGTTCTTGAGCTCCAATGGGCCCATTAATGGCCTCTTTATACCGTATTTTTCTAAGTTCCCGAGAGTCCATGTCGCAAGAATCAGCAGGATTTTATCAACCATCTTTACTGGCAACCATTTCATCAACGAAGTTGCCAATTCGAAAGTTGATCTCCCTGAAATTTCCCTTGGTAATACATGAACCTGTAATTCAAAACCAACAGAAAAAAACTCAGCTTTAGTTTTTTCATTTTTAAGATTGTGTTGGGTGAATTTTGTAGTTATTTATGAAAGTTTTATATGAAACTCACCGAGCTTCGGACCACCATGAATGGAAAAGCATTGTGGTGGCAAAGATCAAGAGAGACTTCCATGCCGGAGTTCCCACATCCTATGACCAAAACTCTCTTTCCTTCATAAGCCTCGCCAGACCGGTAGTCACAAGCATGCATAACATGACCACCAAACTCATCCAACCCTTCGAAATCCGGTTCAACTTTCTCTGCATTCTCCCCTGTCGCCACCACCAGCCACCGACATATGTACTCAACCTCACCGTTATCCGCCACCGTCCTAACCCTCCAAAGCCCACAACTCTCATCATACTTAGCCGACTGAACAGACTCATTGAACCTGGGGCTAATCTCAAACTTCTTAGCATACGATTCAAGATAGTCGATAAACTGATATTTCGAAGGATATTCTGGAAAATTTGGTGGGAAGGGGAAATAGGGTAGCTGGCAAAACTGTTTAGGGAGATGGAGTTTGAGTCGATCATAAGTCTTGTTTTGCCAAAGAGACGCAATGCAGTCTGCGCGGTCCAGGATCACAAAGGGAACCCCTTGCTGCCTGAGTCCTGCGCCAACTGCGAGACCAGAAGGACCTGCCCCGACTATGACTGGCCCGTTCACAAGTATGCATCTCCGGGAAAACAAGTCTCCCTGTTGAAGAGGTTGCTGAACCATGGTTGGCAAATGATGATGATCAAGATTGATAGTAGTGCAGGCGCAGTGCATCAAAAATATATAATAACGAGTGAATGCAAACAGTCTAGGTTTGTTTCCAATTAATTATTGAAGTTGAAGTGGAGAGATAGAAGGGAATAGGAAAACGTGTGGAGGGGGTGAGTGTGTGATTCAGAGGTATAAATAGGGGTGGAGTTGGCCACAAGAGCTGCATGTGATTGGGATATTGGAAACTGATAGGCTTAAGATGGTCATTTTCTGAAATCAAGATTGATATATTTGACACTGGTATCATGGACCAATGGATGGATATGTAGCCATTCTTTCCTGAGAATAAGAGTGATATGTATATATCGTACTTATATATAATTAAAGTCGGAACAAGTGTACGTATAGGGCAAAGTGAAGATGATGAAAAAGAAGCTAAACGACGGAAGGGTCCATGAAGATAGCATAAATTGATTGGACAGAAGGAAATCGAAAAAGTGTGACCACAATTTAGCTCTGAAATGGTGAGGGTTTGTTTTTGAATAACATGATTAGTTAATCTGTGTTGCTTTGCTAAGTTTAGGCAATCATGTTGGGAGGCATATGATTAATGAGAACAAGAGCCATAGAGTGAACTATTTATAATTAATTCTGTACCAAAACCAAAAAGATTATCAATTAACATAAATTAATGCAACTATTTAATTAGTCCTTATCACCCAGCTACCATGCACTAATCTATGAATTTGAACCTCCAAAGCTATTTCTTGTACCAAGTTTGGCCAAAGGACTACTTAATGGTTGCATTAGAGCGCACACACACACACACACACATATATATACATATATATAGTAGCTTTCATTTCTATGGCATCTTCTTCCCTTGATCACACACCATCATGTACTACCATACATGGAAAACCGTGATATATATATTATGTCGTCATAATTCAAGTGTATTCACATGGAACTCACACATAAATTCTAGTGGGCATGCGTGCATATATATATATATACACAGTTTTAGGGACTTGCATGTACAATTACACACAAGACCATAATATATATATATATATATGTATGTATCTCTTTAATTTATTTATCATGAATATAATAGTTTTAAATGAGATATCGATTTGGTTGTTTAATTAGCTATAGCAGAATGATGGAAGGGCCATATGATTCTTGGCAACAACCATGCATTTGGGAACTGCCAAACAACTCTACATTTATTTCCTTTATAATACACCACTAAAAGATTCATCATTAGTTTTGAACATTAAAATAGTTAAAGCTACAAAGGGATGCATCATATAAGTTTGGCTTTCAAAAGTGGGAAATATATTAATATTCCATAAGCTAATTATTATTTTTCCCCAAGATTGTTTCTGGTAATCCATTGGCCTACACAACCAAACTACCAGCTTCTTCTAAACCACAAGTTCTATGCATTAAGTAATTAAACACTTTTAACTAATTAATCACTCTTATATATATTTATGTTGGAATTTGGGACCAAACTAACAACGTCAATGAGGTATTGTATCATGCAGCATCCAACAGGCAGGCTTCCTTAATTAATGTCCATGTGATCGATTGAGCCATGCAGCTAGCTAGCGAGTGCGATAGGATTAACTAGTGGGGTCACGTGGAGAGTATATATGAAACCGTATTTGGAACTTGGGGGCTCACTTCCGTATTCAAAATCAAAATAATTTAGGCATGAACCACACACACATATATATGTATATACATATACACACACCTAACTAGCTCCCGGTATTCAAAATTGAAATTTACATTAATTGTAGAGTGGTTTTTGTAGGTAGAATTGCAGTGGCACATATAATAACATTGGACCACTCTCAAATCCTCACATACATTGAAAATTGCAGCAACCCATGTATGAAAACTCAAACTATATACAAAAAGTTGATCATCATCCATCCATCCATCCATCCATACATGCATTGTATATGTTTATGCAAGCTAATAATCTTGATTACACTTTATTTTTATAGATTCAATCATAAAGTAGTGTGGTATATATATATATATATATATATATATATATATATAGTGGGCATAGAGGGGTGGGGGTGAAGTCACATATATATATATATATATATATATATATTAGCTTATATATATATATATATATGTAGGTAGCTAGCTAAAGGTAGTTTGCATGTGCTTGAAACAATTGGCTTTGTGAAACACTCATTTCCATGTAATAAGATGATATATTAAGTAATGTTAGCCTGTTTTTATAGATTTTGATTACATGATATCATAGTTTATTTATTTTTGATAACTTGGTAAATAAATATGTAAAAGTTAAATCCAAAATCAAGATATTTAAATTGAATTTGAGAGGAGAAGATAATATTTGGATAAATTGTTAAATTTCAAGAATACAACATGAAATATTAATTACAAATTATGAATGCATAAAAGTAATGGTTTGAGTGAAATCATGTTAAAATATATAGTAAATTGTGTTTTGGTGAAAAAACAGGAAGAGTAGATGATGCAAATGCTACCCATGCATGTATGGGTTATCATTTACAAATTTCCAGCCTCCAGCCAGCCCACCTACATATATTATACTACTACTACAGTACTACTGCTGCTGCTGCTATTATATTAACTTAATTTTGTCATTCCAATAAAACCCTCCATCAACTTTTTACTTGCAAAAGTTATAAAGTAGCATACATATTTATGTGTTATAAATTCTATGAAAACTTATTTAAAAAAACAAATTTTTAAATGATTTTTGTTCATCAAATATTAGAATTTAAGATATTGTTTCACATATATTTGTTTCATAATGTGATAATTTCACATGTATTTCTTTCTATCATATGAATATTTTATATATATATATATATATATATATATATTATAATAGTTTATTATTCGTGATATATTTTAATAAAATCTATGTTTAAAGTAGAAACCTCCTCTAATATTGCCTATGCATACACATCGCACATATAATATAATGCACATAATTTATGCATACATGTCATTGAATCATATATATATATATATATATATATATATATATATATAGAATAGCCTTTTTATCTGAACATATATATATATATAGTATTAAAAGAAATAAAAATCTTTAAACACATTAATTTGTAATACCTTAAAATATAAATTAAGTAATAGTTTGATCCAATAACTTTGAGAAAGTTGTTGGTGAAGCCATAACTTGTGAGGCTTACAAGAATTATAATTTTGTATCGATGTAGGAGGGGTTGTTGATCAAAATGAATATTTATTATAAAGTAAATAAAAAAAGAAAACTATTTTAGAGGAAATTAATATATAATAATAATGATGAAATGAAATTATGTTTGTAGACCTCTAATCTAATTAAATTCAATTCAATTGTATGTCCTTTAAAAGTAATTAATTAAATCGACCCCCACTTATTGTTTTAATTCTTTACTCATTTTCTTTTATATATAAATATAATTTCCTCAACAAAACCTATATACCTTCTCATTTTTATAACACTTAATTAATTTACGTAGTAGTAATAATCTCATGAAAAACTTAATTAACATAAATTTTCAAAATCACTCATCTTTTACTTAATTATTTTTGGTTCATTAAATAAAAATATCTTTTATATATACATATATTATTTGAAATATGGAGAAATTAAAACAAAAGATGGATTTACATTAAAATAAGAGTAAATAATATCAAAATCTAATTAAAAGATATTTTTATATAATATTAATTAATTAATTAAAATGATGGAGGGTGAAGGTAGGGGCATTGTAGAAATAAAATCCGAATATGTGTTTTGGGTTGCATGGCATGGCATGGCATGTGAGCCAAAGACGATAAGATTAAAAGGGGGTGGGGGTGGGGGTTCTAATCTAACCTAACCTAATCCAACCCAACCTCGTCTTAGTGGAACTCTAATCATTTATTTCCCTTTCTTTATTAATTATAATTATTAATTATAATTATGATATATCAAAAAGTAAAAGTCCACTTTTGGTCCTTCCCATTTGTTATTTTCAACCTTTTTCTTCTCTCAACTTCATACAGATTTGTCCCTCACGTTTCTCCATTCTCAATGAATTTCGTCCCTCCTTCTAACGACCGTTAAGTACTCTAATTTAATGACATGCATGTATTTTACTCATTTTCTTAATCTAATCCAAACCACAAAGCAAAGTCACATGGATCAAAGCATAAGGAGGAAACCACATCTCCGACCAACACAACAGACCTTCCATCTAAAGAAACCAGTTACACCATCTTTTTTCAACACGTACACATCTTTGGTGACGATACATGAATGGTACTAAAATAGAGACACATGGACGATGACAGTGGAGACGATCACATGGGCGAAACCACAGGGACATTTGCTATTGAGTTTTATTTCGGTGACGGTGATGGTACTCATAGAAGAGGGGATCTCGGTGACAGTCATGGTAGTCGTATTTAATTTCTCTTGTCAGTAATGGATAAAGGGATGCCATAGTGACGGTCGGAAGGAATAAATCATTTGGTTCCTGTGTGTATATATCAAGTAAAATGACTACAATACCCCTCATTAAAATATTAACAGAAAAAATTAACGACCGTTAGAAGGAAGGAATAAATCATTTGGGAATCGACAAACATGAGGGACAAATCTGTTAAAAAAAAAAATAAAGGACGAAAACCATTAAAATTGTGAAACATTAGGGATCAAAAATAGAGTTTACTCCTAAATCATCAAATTAACTAGTACCAAAAGGAAAAAAAAAAACCATTTTACAAATAACTAATTTCTTATTCGTCAATTCATTTCAAAAACATATTCATAACTTATATAATGACACCATATATACATATAATATAAACCTTTTATTCCCATTAAAACAATCATATTTGAAGCGTTTTATAATTAAAGATTTGGATGGGTTTCTTATAATCTATAAATACTACATTCGTGGTTCTTGGATTATCATGTATGAAAAGATGGAAATAAAACAATCATATTTTAGATATTTCCTTGATAACAAGTGTAATAGGGAGGATATTAATTAATATTAATATCAATGACGAGGTATTTAATATAAAGCTAAAAATACCAAGTATAATGACAATTATTAAAATAAACGGCAAATATATAACAACATTATCATTATATATATATAATTTGTATGTGTATATATATGTATATATATATATATATATATATATATATGTTAGTTGATTGCGAAGGAGGTATTTATTGACATTGGATTTGACATAAAACTGGGGATTGAATTAACGAATGAGGACTAATTCCGTAAACGAAACCAGATTCAATGGAAAATCTTAATTGCAATATTTGTGCTTCATGCTTTTGAGCAACTATTTACTTACAAAATTAACCCTATAAGAATTCAATTCCTTGTGAAAATTTAAATATATAAAGAAAGTGGATGAGTCATGTGATTGTGATTTGTGGCCATGGCCGTGTTTTGTGTGCAACCATACATTGAACTCTTTTCTGTTCATGCACTGTATCTGTATTTAGACTCCACTTGTAAATATCTAATTTCTAAACCACAACATTAATTGAATATCTAATTTGTGTCATATTTAAATTAACCACGAGAATTTAAACAACAACATATATATACTTAATTAATGAATATGTCGTATATCTCGTTACAAATAAACTAACTATATTAATTAAATGATCTATAACCTAATGTCTAGACGTATTATTAGTTACAATAATCATAGAGAATTAAACATATATAGCTTCTTCCTTAAACAAAAGAATTGAAGAAGAATATATATATATATACAATTCCACAATAAAATATAAAATGGTAAATGCAATATTTGATATTTTTATAGTTGGATCTACAAAGATTCACTACTTTTTAATTTGTTTTTCATTTTTTATGTAACATAATATATATATATATATAAGATTAAGAACAAGGACCAGCTTAAAAGAAGTCAGACCATTTGGTCAACTTCATTCACATTCACATTCACATTCACATTCACATCCACATTCACATGCATGTGTAATTAAATTAAATTAAATTAAATCATTTAATTGCTAACAATGTTTTTCTATTAATAGTCCAATACTAAATATATGCCATCCCTAATCATAGCACCCACACACCACGTCATACTTTTTATATCACTCACTCATATATAATATATATATTTTAAGTGTCATAATTGAAATATATATATATATAATATATATATAGTACTTGTATCATTTAGTTAAAGTGTTTAAAAACTAATCACATGTCTTTTTATAAAAATAATATGTGAATGAAACTAGTCTTGTCCATATATATTATAACACCTTAATTGATAAACAACAACAAAATGTAATTTATTTTCGTACAACACACAAACATAACATGACATTCATCTTTTTGGCAATGGAAAACAATATTTTCTTGTATTAATTTGATCTACCAACAAAGTTTTTATATGTTCGATTGATACAATATATATATATATATATATATATATTATCTTATTAAACAAATTTAGCAAAAATCTTAAAGTCTTAAAATACTAAATGACCAAGATACCATTTATACTACTTTTTCATTTTTTTTTACTTTTTCACCTACTGCTCTCCTCACATACACTCACCCCTCACATACACTCACCCTCTCACAACCGATTTTAAAATTATAATTTTAAATTTACACTTTATACCCCTATAATTAGTTAATTAATTTATTTTACGTCCTTTACTTTTAAATATAAACCTTTATCAAATTAACATACATAATCGTATATCAATTAAAACATGTTTAAAAAATACATTTTTATTTTAACAAGTTACACCATTATAATCGTCTCGTTAATACCTTCGAAATAAGTTCAATATTGAATAGTTTTTGACTTAATTATATTATTATGTATTATATATACTGTGAAAAAATATTTTTAATATTTACGATTTATACTTTTATAGTTATTTATTTATATATATATATATTATATATTTTGGGGTTAGGCTGTCCAAATTGCATTGTATAATATGTTATAAATTAATATGTTCTTGGGTTTTTTTTGAAATATATATATATATATACATGTATTAATTCAACCTTAATCTGAGTTTCTGGACAAGAAAGAGGGTAAACAGTTGAAATTTCATTCTAAAACCCATCTTTTTTGGTCTTTTCATGGCTTATGATCTGTCAAATTTGTAGTTTTCTTTATTAGTTTTGAGTGTTTATCTTAAAACTCAAGTTTCTTGGTTCTTTGCTCTTGGTGTAAATCGAACACATTTGTGGAGTCGTTTAAATATGTTGGATTTTAAATATATTGGATTTTAAACTGTCATACAATTTTTTTCATCGATAGTCTGTAATTAGAACCATAACTCTTATTTATTTAAATTGTATTAATATGTAAAGACCAAGTGTAACTTATATCATCGTTAAATCTTATCTTATAAAACCAGTGAAACTTCAAAATCGTTAAAATTCATGGCTCCCGCCTTGCGCGGGTACACAACTAGTATATATATATATATTGGTGACATTAAGCCCAAGGATCATTAAGACCCAGGTCCATTATATATAGGGAAAATAGAGATATTTAACCTTTATACATCTCAATGGGATTTTGTAATTGGAATAAGATAAATGAGGAAAGGGTAGATTGGTAAAACTAGAAAGAGCGTTTGCTATTCATATGTAAAGGAAGGATCCTTTTGTACAAAACAGACATCTCCTCTCACTACATGATACATACCCTATTATCATGCACCAAATCAAGGGTTAATGCATGCATGCATCCCTACCCTTCCTATATTTTCACCCAACATCATCACCTATCAATGTTACAAATCTAACCTAAAATAATTGATGCTCTACACTCCTAAATCTAGAAATATAGAAGTTGGGAAACTTTTGTTGTAAATCCTACTCCAGTAAAAATTGGAAAGCTGGATTTTCAAGGAGTTCACCACTAGGTTTTACATCTGCAAAATCCTTCTCATGAAGGCAGTGGTTAATTTCTTCGGTTGAGAAAGGAGTGCTGCAATGCACATAAGGGGAATGATCGACTCTTTTATCATAGAACGGAAAAAAAAAATGATTTAGTTTTTGTTACTATAGACTTACCTAGAATTGTCTTTCAGCAAATAAGCTTTACTTTCAGTATCAGCAGCAGACTTCATTAAGACTTTCAAGTTGGATATAACCTGCCCAAAACTAAAGAGGGTGAGGAAAGATTATTGGTGAAAATTGTAGGAACTGAAGTCAAGTCATTACTGGAGAAGAAGATGAAGAAATGACAACTATGGTTAATTAATTTCTTACTTCTGGGGTTACACTTCCACTATTGTTATCGTCTGAGTAGAGCGTGCAAAGTCTATGATGTTGTTGAACGCTTAGAACCTAAAATGGAAACTCTCACTTACCATCTGGATGCTACTTGCAGTAAAGATAACTAGAATACTGCTACTAGAGATGAGATCAGCAAACACAGGTGGAGACTTACAGGGCATAGCTTAGTTGTGAGTTCATCGTAGCCAATCTTAGACTTCTGTGGTATAACCTGCACAAAAGTAAATTCTGAAAACTTAGATACCAGTGCAAGTTAAAATCTAAAAAAACATTGAAATGTTTTCAAGAATAGCTCGGGTGAAACTTATCCTACCTATAGATATCGGAGTTGAAAATACACCAATTAACAAATTTCTTTAGTTTCAAGAATCAGAAGCATACCAGAAATCCAACTGCTTGGCTCGTGTGTTGAAGTTCATCCAATGATGAGCCTACATACTGATTTTAAGGAATGGTTAGATTTACGAACCCTGACATCAAGAATAGAGGTGTATGAACTATAGAGTATTGACTACCTCTCTTGTGGTCTGATCACACCACTGCTCCAACTCAACTAACCCAGATTTCACATATTCCCCATTTCTGAATGTGCAGCACTCTTGATGTATAAGAAGGCTGCATACCACATAAAAGGATCACAGTTAAATATAGTAATTTGAAACAGACTTTCCAGGCATTAGAAGAGAACAACTAGCTACCTGTTGAAAAGCTGCACATTGATGTAAGAGAAAGCTTCAATGAAGATCTTCTGAACAAGAACTGCTGGCACCTGAAACAAATATGCCTAAATGGTCAAGCGAGGAGCATGCAAATGGGATATCGTATCAGTTATTTTACAGAAGAAAATAATGTTACATACATGGTATTCTTTACATATATTGAGCATGCCATTTAGGCATTCAATGATACTTTCCCAGTGACTAGATGGAGGAGGGTTGTCTTTTGGCGTTCGTGGTGCCTGAACCGTTGGGAGAATATAAATTAGTGCCTTGATTTGCCTGTTATTAGGACTAGAATTCATAAGAAAGCTATATGCCAAAGAGTAGCTCATGCTACAGAACCATTTACCAAGATTGTTGGATATTTGTTTAAAGTTTTAGTTTTGCAGAGAGCAAATATCAATCATCAAATCACATCCAGATATGAGATATAAGCCTTCCTCCAAAAGCATCTTGAAGGCTTATATAGATCTGTAACTTGCTTCTTGGTAAATGGAAAGGCAATGAGCATAATTATAGACAGAAACAATGTATAAAAAATACGAGAATGAATGAAGCAAATGAATGGAATATCTCAGTTACATTTAATGGTGACCTTCAAAACCAGGTTTACACACATGTACATACAAGTATGCTCCATTACCCAGAAATTGTGCAGCACAAACAACATTTCAAGTAATACCAAGTTATATGCAGAAATGCATTATAAATTCAAATAACATGCTTTTGAAATAGCAGAGTATGTAGATAGCTGAAACGCATCATACCTCAATACAAGAGGAGAGAAGTGGCGCCAAATCCTTCTTCAAATTGTCACGAATAATTGCATAGATTTTTTCAACATAAGCAGTTAATTGTTGCTTAAAAAGCAAAGCTGGGTACTTGGCCTCTACATGGCGCACTACATCGCTGAAAGACGATGATTTAAATCCCTACAAGAATAGCGTTTATATAGTTTGAAATGATTTTTGTTATGGGTCGTATTTTACTGTTCAAGGGATTTTACAGGATTGCAATATGCATGATGCTATAAAATGAAGATGTAAAAACTGCCCAATGATTTCCCATATACTTCGAAAGAAAAAGGTCCTATATTTTGGAATGAGGGGAGTGAAAGTTGAAAAATAGTGGGTCAAGAAGAAACTAATTACTTGAGTCATCCTTCCAAATAATGACGGTGTCTGTGATGATTTCTGAGCAGGGCATAAACTCCTGTGCAGCAAAAATAGCAATGTAGATGTGGTCGAGAGCCAATAAGCCAAATGTTTGTTGTCATGCTCTTTCTGGAAAAGATAGTACATAGAAAGATGCACGTTAATTTAGCATCCTCTCCAAATGAATGGTCCTCATAAAATATCACTCATTTGGGATACAAAGCTGATGTAGAAACAGCAATGCATTGAATGGTCCAAAGTTGTACCAAACGTAGATATGTGTAGGCACTATCAAAAGGTAAAAAGTAACAATCATCCTGCCATCMACAAAAAAGTAAAGAGTGTTCCAGAGAGGATATTCTTTCCTTTTTTAATATACCCACAAGGACAACAGAAACAAGGGACACATTTTGATCTTGGACTATGAAATGACATCATGTTCTCAATTTACTGTACCTGCCACCAACTAAAAGTTGACATATTTTTCACATCTTATTATTATCACCAACATTGTAGTCATCGTCCTAGCACCACTCCTTAAGTTTCTTATCTTTGACTAGTTGTATACCTGAAAATATCACTATTTAGAAATTTATCCGAGTAACCATCTCTTTATGTTGGATTTAGGGACTAGGGAGTATGCTTCATTTCATTCTTGAATAAGCAGGAGATGCGAGCTCTCATGTGGCTCTTGGCCCATTCTCTTCTTTGGATAATAACGTTGAATTTCTTTCCTATATTCTGCTGGATGTTAATGGAACACACTAGAAAAATTGCTCAGTATTTCTCGCACACCAAATAATGACCATATCCATATAGCTGATGAAGGGTATAAATGTATAATGAAGAAACAGAAACTAAAAAGTTCATTTAGATCATGCAGAAACATGTTAATGCTACCTAAGTAAACATCTGACCTCTATTGCTGAACCGATCATCTGAATAACACGATCAAACACATTTGTTTTTTCAGCTTCAAAACATTTCCAGTGTAAAAGGCTTTTGTATATGATATATGTAGCAACTGGTTGTCCTTGACTGAAACCAAGCTCTTGTCTAACAGCTGCAAGAAGAGCTTCAACATGCTCCTGTACCACATATGTATATATATAATACTATTAAATCATGTCAGTAATACAATTTAGCTGCTGGAAAAACAGAGGAAGAAGAAATGACAATCAAACTGAAGATCATTTGGTGTCCATTGGGTTCCACAGAAACTGACATATATATATATATATATATATATATATATAATACTATTAAATCATGTCAGTAATACAATTTAGCTGCTGGAAAAAACAGAGGAAGAAGAAATGACAATCAAACTGTAGATCATTTGGTGTCCATTGGGTTCCACAGAAAATGACTGATATATGGGAACATATGATGAAATCATGTCAATAATCACAATTCAGCTGCTGCAAAAACTGAGGAAGAAGAAAGGGAAATCAGACTATAGATCATCATTTTTGTCCATTCAGGATCCGTGCTGAAGGAAAGAACTCCACAAAGGCAAGCCTATGATAGTTGAGGCAAGTGTAACAGATGATGGATGCATTTCACCCAAAGAAATGTTCTAAATAGCAACACAAGGAGAAATTTATCACATTTCTTCATAACACAAAAGAAACACAGGAAGTACTGGATCCATCAGATTCCTGATTCTTCTCTAAGCTTATAGACTTGTGTGTGGAATGCAATGAACACTGCTATGATGAAGTTATGTTATGCAGCGAAACTGTAACAATAGATATTTCTCCATCTATAGATATATGAACACAAATACTTCTTTTACAAATTAGAAGCTTCCAGAGCCTTGATTCCTTCATCTCTTATCTTTTTTAAATTTTCTCATGGGATCCTTTTTACCCTGACCAGTCTCAGGGGTAACATGTATATGGTTGTTGTTCATGATATAAAGCCTTGAAAAAGTAAATCTATGGCAACCACCAACAATTTAACAAACTAGCCAATTTCCCCTTTCTTAGAGAGAGAAAGAGACAGAGAGCATGAACTCTCATTCGTATCCCATAATATATATATCGTGAAATTTTAATGGCAAATTTGGTGGTTGTCATAGATTTGCCAGCCTTCAAACTACTTTTATTCTACTTGTTGGGTTTTGAACGGGAAACCTTATTTTCTTTTGACACGAAAAAAACTTCACATTTCAATTAACAAAATCGAACAGATACAAGAAACACCGAGGCAAACTAGTCTCAACACAATCTGGATAGAAACACGAGTCCCTAGCGATACTATGGGCTACCATGTTTGCAGACCGTTTCACAAAGAGAATAGAGACATTATGGACATAACGAAGAATCATCTCCACCCTGTAGGAACTACGAGATTACCCCAAGGACGCCTTCGGCATCCAGGGGTGGACCGACCATAAAACCTTGTTCAATAAGTGGAATGCATTAGCTGTCCGCTGTCAGGTTCGCCTTGCAGTCTTGGATTATAGAGCCAAACGACGAACTTAAACTCATACTACTTCAAAGGGCTTGGATCACGACCAGACAGTCCATTTCCGCCACCACCTGCCTCCAGCCTGTATTGTTAATCCAACTCAACGCTTCCTTGAAACCTTATTTTCTTTAGTGCATATATTTTAGATCATATAAGCCAAATGATATCAAATAGTAGATTATTGATCTTGCAGAAGTTAATAATAAGTTAAAACCACCCTTTTGGGTTTACTTTTATAATATCATCTCTGCTTAGATGCATTGGAAGGCGGAATAATAGAACTTCACGTGTTCCGAAAGTACTTTGTGTCATCCACACATTTGCCAAATCCCCCTTAAAAACACTGATAGTTTAGCTAGTCGAAAACAATTTAAGGAATGCTAAATGTACCTTGGCTAGAAGTCAAACAAAGACAAAAACTTCTACATGTAGATTTTGATAGGATATTATAGGAAACAAATACATATCGATTTTTAAGCAGGATGTTCCAACAGGAAAGAAACACTCACAAGTGAAATAGAAAGAGTATCATTTAGAGCATACATGTAATCTGTCTTGTTTCCTGTGTTCGTTTCTCTCAACTCTATTCTATATTTCCGTAATAGGAGAAAATGTAGGAGTTCTGTAAAACCAGTAAGGCATACTAGAGCAAGTTTGTGCCAATATGTTTATTTTTCCTGTAAGCAACTTTTCATTAGTACTGCATTCGCATCATAAGTGTAGAATAATTTTTGTCCACACACAGAGAAATAGAAAGCAGATTGCCAAAAAAGACAAATAAATGGGACAAGAACAAACTAGCTCATGCTCAAACACATACATTCTGCTTTTCATTCATAGAACCCCTCGAGCTGCTATTGTATCTCTTCACTTGTCCGGCACTCTGTGGTTCCTGCAAATTGAAAGTTTGACCAGTAGATTATCTAAAACATTAATATTGATGAAGGATAAAGAAACTAAGTTTTCCAACTTACTTGTTGACCATTCTCTTGGTCCTGAAATTCATTATTATAAGAATAGTAAGATATATTTTCAAATTAAGTCCAAAATAAGATTAATAGCATACAGTGTGGCATGTTAACCTTGGTCATCATAGAAGATGCACTAGATGGTTGCATCATCACTTGCTGACGCAGAATGAGATCCTCAGTCTCTATGTCGCAAAGTTTTTCTTGAAGGCTGAAGGAACAAGGCAAGAGGAACCGCAAAACCAAACACAAGTTACTACTTCAGCCTTGGATGGTGAAATTGTAAAACTTCATCATGGTGAGACTTGAAAAACAGAGTCAATCTAACATTGCTATAACCTTTGCATGGAGGTCTTCAACTCGATCACCATCGACTCTGCATCCCTAGCCTGCTGCGACCTCTCTTCACACAGTTTGTGGGCCTCGTCAAATTTCTTTTGCAGTGCACTAGCCATGTACTGCAAGTGTTTCAGATGACAAGAAATGCAACAATCATGATTATGTGCATTTTATAAAGCTTTGTCGTTGTTGGTGCAAGTGTGTGGAAAACACTTTTATAAAAATGTACACTTCACAATCATGTAAATTTTGATGATAATAAACGTTACCAGACTTATTGTGTGACTAATTTTCGATAAATAGAGTACGGAAATATTATTGCAATTCAGTCAAAATACCAAATATATATAGAAGACAGATAAAAAGATCGACCATACTGAAGATTCAGAAATCATCTTGGGAAGGATGCTGCCAAAAGTTCCTTGATGAAGAATGCTTTGGAGCATGGCACAATTTTATTCGAATATCAAAGTCAACACAAGAGATTGAATATTTCTACAACATCAAATTTTATCAAACTGTAAACTCTAGTGATCAAATATGATATTTTGGATGAGTTTATAAAACTTCATAAAAAGCCATTAAAAAATTAAAAAATTCAATTTTTTTGGGAGAACAACAAAATGATCTTGTGTCCAAGTGTTTATAAGAAACCATGAAAAGATAAAGTTCTGTTTTACGCAAAAGACAGATGTTCAAACATGGTAAAGTCAAAAATCTGATTTTGTGTGAGAAAGAAAATGTCTTGACCTATCAAGAAAGTTTTTGGAAAGTTTTTGTCCCGATAAAATTCGGACATCTGCAAGGAACAATCTGAACGTCCGCGTCAGGTTTTATGCAGACTGTTCTCTGCACAGTCAACGGTCAGAGTTTTGCAGAAAATGAAATCCGGACATCCTTGTGGTGACATTGCATACTTCCAAAATGATAGCAGATATTTTTGTAAGTATAAAATAGTTGCTTTGTCTAACATTTCATAACTCTTGGCCAACTATTCTCTCACGAACTCAGAGCATTTCTAACATCTTTTGAGAAGTCTTAAGTGCATATACACTCGTCCAAAAGAAAGTATATACAATTGTGATCAATTGAGCTAATTGTTTGATAAAAACTTTAGTGCGAGTGATCCACCCATTATCTTGCTTAGAAAAGCAAAGGAGGTTTATCATGTAATCAAGTGTACTATAGTTTCGATTCTACCACAAAAAATAGCTCACTGTGGATAGAGTGTCTCGAGAGGGATCGAGAAAAATGGACTAGGCATGGTTGGCCGAACCATTCTGAATACCGGTGTTTGATTCCTCCAACTCTTTACATTTAGATCATTTATTTCCGCATTTACGTTTTGTATGCAGACTGTTCTCTGCACAGTCAACGGTCAGAGTTTTGTAGAAAATGAAATCCAGACATCCTCATGGTGACATTGCATACTTCCACAATGATAGCCAGATATTTTTGTGAGTATAAAATAGTTGCTTTGTCTAACATTTCATAACTCTTGGCCAACTATTCTCTCATGAATTCAGAGCATTTCTAACATCTTGTGAGAAGCCTCAAGTGCATATACGCTCGTCCAAAAGAAAGTATATACAATTGTGATCACTTGAGCTACTTGTTTGATAAAAACTTTAGAGCGAGTGATCCACTCATTACCTTGCTTAGAAAAGCAAAGGAGGTTTATCATGTAATCAAGTGTACCATAGTCTCGATTCTACCACAAAAAATAGCTCACTGGATAGAGTGTTTCGAGAGGGAACGAGAAAAAGGGACTAGGCATGGTTGACAGAACCATTCTAAATACCGGTGTTTGATTCCTCCAACTCTTTATATTTAGATAATTTATCTCCGCATTTATGTTTTTGTATTCGAGGTTGATCTTTATTCAAAAGATTGATTTTCCCCCCACCCCACCCCCCAACAAAAGAGGTTGCACATAGAAGTATGGCCTTTTCGGTTCAAATTGAGGGGAAGAATGATATAACTTTTTAGTTGTAATTTTATACAAGCAAAATAAATCGTGTTCAGTTTTCTAACTCTGTAAAAACATATTCAAATTGAAGTTTATTTTAAGCACCATCTTGAACATTTGATGATAAACAAGTTGATTTCTTCGTTTTAATACCATTAACACTTTAGGAATTTTTTATAATCATGTTTAATAAGATATGAATCACTCCTACATGAGTGAGAGTGTTGTATTCATATTGGGTGTGGTTCGGGTACCATTAACACCTTGGTTTTGATTTCATTTGTTAACTTTATAAATACAAGTAAGAAAATTTACTATATGCAAAGGATACATGCTTGAATTCGTACTCGTTACCTTGAGTTTCACATTTTCAGCAGTAAGCTTATCAATCGCCTCATTGCCAGTAATAGGAATCTCTTCAGGTGCCGGAAGTTGCCCAATTTCTATCTGTGCAGACCCCTCTTCCTTTATGGGATACTCTGTTATCTCTTTCAAGAATAACTGTAACTTTGCAATTTCCTGATTCTTAGCCTCCTCCATATCAACCTACAAAATTTTGAATAATGGAAAAGTAAAAAATGAAAGAAGAAAAACAAAGATAAGTTTGATATATGCTTTATTTTCTCTTTTTCCATGACTCAAATGTCAAGAAACACAAAGATGCTGGTAAATGAGTTACCATAAATCATTTGTTACACATGCACTGGTTATTCAATAGCAAAAACCTATCTTTTGTTAACCTGTCTAAAACTCAACTCAAGTCAAATTGCTAAGCCTACACTAATAAACCAAATAAACTTATTTGCAAGGGTTCAAAGCTTACCAAACAAACCAACAAATGATCCCCTAGGTCCCAAAAACACCTAGATTCAAATGCAAGTGAAGCACCAACAACAAATCCAGAATATCTAGGGTCTTGCAAATGAGTAAATGGCTATCCAAGCACAATATCCAACCACAAGCTTAATCAAATAAAATATAACCATAAAAATTCAAATGCAGTAAAAGCAAGTAAACAAGACACGAGATTTACATGGTTCCACTACCGTTGGGTAGTGTATGTCCTAATGTCCACTAGGAGAGAGAATGTATTGATATACCAAAGGGAGTATGAAGCAACTTACAAGAGATGATGATCACCTAAAACTAGTAAAAAGCCAAATGGAATGAGCTCCTCTTTTTCCCTCTAGCTATGGAAGAACACAAGAAGCTTTTCCACTAAGGGTTAATCAAAAACTAAACAAAATGGCTTCTATATGATGAATTTGAGCTATGGGGGACAGGACCAAAATGGGAGCAAAAGAACCAAAATTTGCCAAGAAAATTGCCCAAAAAGAGCCTCTGGTGGTCTATGCGATCTTGGCCACAAGCATGGCCAAAGTGCCACTATCGTGAAAATGGTACCGAAAGCTTCAAGGGTTGGATGACCTACGCAATTAAGGCCATGAAAGAGTTTCCTAAATGATAGAAAATTGCAGGACAATTTAGGTACATGAAGGACATTGGAAAGGATAATTTTTGTTGACAGTTTAATGGTTCCATTACCAGCAATGTCATCAGACATGCCATCTGCAATTTTTTTGTTTTGTTTCCCGTAGCGGTTTGTAGGAAGAAAAGAACTGAGAGCAACATGTTATATGATCTATATATGACCTACATACCACAAGATCGATTTGAACACACAAATGAAGAGATACCTTTCCTTGCTGAAACACAAGAAGAAAATGTGTTAAAGAGAAAATGGTGGAGAGTTCAAAAGCTTATACAGGTGTTGAAGTTGGTCATTACTCATTAGTGAAAGGCACTGAGCCTGGAGAAGTGTTATGCTTCCGGGATAAAGCTAATAAAAGAAGATACATATAACCTTTGGCATTTGATACAATAGATTAAGAAAAAATTACTTCAACATTATGCACCGAGTGTTTTCCTTTACCACATCTAACAACACATGCAAATGTAATGTGATAGCATGAACTCCTTGAAAATTACAGTCAATGCATAAAAATAGCTTCAAGTTAATGGTATTATTTAAGAAGTGTTCTATGTTAAGAAGTGATGACAAAATAAAACATTGAAGTACTAGAAGTTTAAAAACAAGACTAGGACAAGGAAAAATAAGGTGTGGAAGGCTCTATGCATTCACCCGCGTCTATTAAATAATCTTCAAGTTAATTAGCAGTTGCCAAACTTTTTTTTTTGTCAAAACATTGAAACTAATTGCATGTACAAAGAAAACCAATCATGTAGACATATGTTAACTTTCATATAGGCTCTTTGTTACATGTTACCATGAATCCTTCAAACTATTCCAAAATTGGAACTAGATTAGATGACAACTAAGTTGAGCGACCAACATGGATTCATAAGAATATCCCTTTTTGATAAAAAAAAAGAGAGAAGTACCTACTGGTGAAATCCCTATAAAGATATGAATTTTGATATGATAATAGATGCTATAATGTTAACACGAAGGATCATGTGAGAATAGGAGTTAAGGTGAGAAGTGCAAGAAGGGATTTGGATCCTTGATCATTTTTAATCCGCTTTAGAAGGGAATTGGTCCAGTGCTTCTCATTAGTGTTGATCTAGTGGAACTCTTCAATTAGGTTGATCCAAGGGTGGAGATCTCTTCTTACCCTTCTCACCATAACTCTCATTCTCACCGGAACCCAACCCATAATGTTAATTGACCTAGCAAATCAATATTCTCAAGATACAGCCGCATCATCATCATCAGCATAAAAGAAAACGAATTTTAAGAATCCAATTCAAAATCCTTTATATTTAATAACTAAATTTGAGTTTTTATTGGTACGAAATACTTAGTTTCGTGAAGAACTAGATTAAAAGCAGGAACTTTGTGATATGCCTGAAAATGTTACATGCTAATGAGGGAGCAAAAGAATCAACTCAAAACAAGAATACATATAAGCTTAGATTAACAGCAGGAACTTTGTGATAGCCTGAAGACATTATAAGCTGAGTGACTAAACAATTAGTCGAATACATGTCAGATGTAAAAAACATACCCTCGCTTGTCTCTCCTGCTCCAATTGGCAGGTCAGTTCTTTGACTTGTTGTTCCAGTTTAGATTTGGCATCTTTAAGAACACCAGTATCCTTTGCAGCCTGCATTGTAGAAAACGTATTTAAGCTTGGCGTATGCAACTACCTACCGCTGTATGCAAATGAATTTTCTTTTTTGGAACATCTCCCACATCCATGTTCATGTTAAGCCAATAACTTTAAGAGAAAATATCAGGAAAAAAGTTCAAACTTGACAGTGAACATCTGTATTTGTTGTAGACCCGACAGGCAAGGGATACAATAAATTTAAACTATGCAGGAATGAATGTAAAGAAAAAAAACAAGTTTTGGCTATGTATCAATTTAAGCTCTGTGATTGATCAACCCAACAATAAAGCATCGGAAGTGCAGCATATTGTGGGGGATCAAGCAATTTGTTCATGACTCCCTAGGGTCTATATTAGGTAATGCGCTTCTTTTAAATAAGTTTCATATTTCATAATAAAAATTCAAACAAGTTTCAGTATTTTTCTAATGAATACGGACTATAGTCAAACAAAAAAAATGCATTAATTGATAATACATATTAACCAGGAATGTCTTGTAAAAGAATGTTAAATATAAGCATAATCTCTACAGAAGAACAGAATAATTTCAACAGAACAAGAGAGAACAGATGAAAGAGACAATCACCATTCTACGCTTCTTTAGTTCTCCCTGTGCATATAGTCCTCTATAAACAGACTGAGTTATTAGTGCGGCTTTGATTGTCCTCAAATAAGGAAGGCGGACCAAATCTTGCCGGCATTGAGCCTGTGAGTAGTTCATATAGAATATATCAATTTAAGAAGTAAGTCATTGGCACAATTGACGCCTTAATGAACATGACATTATGACGGGCACACATGTGGGAGGAGCAGTATAGTCAACCTCTGAAAAAAATTGTTTGTTACAATACAAGATCCTAAGGCACACAAACAATATCTTGAGGCACAATACCTTTTCCTTGGTTTTAGTTTAAATTTGAAAAAGAATATACTTGGTACAAAAGAACTTTTTGGTACATAGAACAGAAAGAAACTCTTTCTATTTGTGCAGCAGAAAGAAAGAATGATTACAAAAGTAACCAGGTTATGAGTTACAGACTTGCGATAAGTCGATGACAAGATAATCCCAATAGGTAGATACCCCACAAGGAATCAATCATATAACATGTAATTTTCTTTGATCATAAATATAGCACTGCAGGGTATTTTACCATATATTACAGAAGTCTTGATAAGTTTCATGTCCCATATTTTGCTTGTGTTTAAGAAAGTGAAATCCATTGGAATATAAGAAACAACAGTCTTTGTAAAAAGAGCATTAACGGGTGTATACTCGTGCTCCAAGCACTCCGGGCTCACTTTTGTACTTCATAAATCTTGATAGGCCTTAGTTTGAGCCTGCTGCAAATAATTGGGGCAAAAGAACCCTTTTTGGTGTTGTTATAAATTAGAAGCAAAATCAAAGAAGGGAAAAAGGATAACGGCTTGTCAAGTACACCTTTGTCTGACACTAGCTTTAACATACCTGTAAAATGATTGCTGCTTCGGTTTTCCGTTTGTGAAGATACATATTGGTTGCAGCCAACCCACGAATTGAAGCCTGGATTCTAATAGCTGAACTGCATAACGACCTGTAAGCTTTCACCCTGAGAAACATGCGTGCGGATTTCTGGATAGTCAAAGACGCTGCTTCTTTCCTTCGTTGCTCAAAGCGGTTACGTGCGACTTGCCCTGCAATCATGAATTATAACCAACTTCACTCAGGCAACAACCTAAAGATCATACTCTCCTGAAATTATTTACATATAGACAGGATATATTATCTATACCTCTACAAATAGTTTGTAGTGGTAAAGCTGAATTTTGTAACAAGATATACTTCTTGTGTGTAGAATGCGAGCGATATTTTGTCTGGACTTTGGTTGCAGATCTTCCTAAAACCTGAGTTCTGTAAGCATCAAGCTCGGCCATTTGACCAGCTCTGAGAAACACTTTTGTTTTACCTATCTGCAACCGTTTCAATCAGATACACATTAACCGGTTTAATATCCGCACCATGGAAATCTTAGCTGCTAAATTTAACAATTCTAGAAAAATTCTCTAACCCATGTAACGAGTATACTTCAATATTGAAATGTCTAGTATTTGGCAACAATAAAAAGCCTGTCACCCAAACTTAGTTGAGGTGCGCCAAAAATGAAATAAAAGGAACCCGGTGAAACCCAAAAGCATACATATTAAATATAGCTTGCAAAACCATTTTTGTGGATCATGGGACTCGGACAGCGAGTGTAACTGGGAGAGAAAGTCGCCGGTACAGAGTAGAAAATTAAGGTACAAAAGTTGCAACTTGGACAAAGATTGCATGTGAGTTGAAGTCGCAGAACCGCGGACATTTGCCTCAGGGTAAACCACCGCCTCTCAGGTTCCCGATTCTATCATAGTGGAGACAATAAATCCCCTCCCCTCCAACACAGCCTAAAATTTTCATTGTATTGTGCTCTCTAAAAGAGCAACTATTCTAAGTCGCCTATTTCTATGCCAGCTAGGTTGCAAGTTGAATACGATTCACAGATGACTAATTTGGAACCGATGCGAGTTGCTATTCAAGTCGCATATCTTACCTGACGGATTTATAAACACTCTCCCCAACTCCATTTACGAACCAGACCAGAAAAAACTGTGATTTCTCCATTGTTTATCTACTTGGAGCATTGTAAACTTCATCACTTACAAGTGGATTTTCTAGGTGGTTTCCTCCACCCGTGGTTTTCTTCATTTCTGGGTTCCATGTAAATCTTGGTGTCGTCCTTTATTATTATGCTTAAAGATTACTGGTTTATATATTGCCATTATTGATACATTAAGGACCTTGCTTGTCATCCCGCATTGTAACCAAATTGTAGTTCAAACTAATCATCACAGGATTGTTGACTTTTCTGCCTCATTGACTTTGACTGATTGTTGGAGCATTGATTGGGATCTATTGTCGGCGTATTAAGACCTCATTTGATTGTAACAAGACATAAGGAGGTGATCCACTGAGGGTTCCATGGTTGGATTGATGTTTTTCCATGTACATGTATTCTTACCTAAGGCCAACTCTTTGGCAACTCATCCAAGCGTCTCTTCTTAACTTCTTCTCTTACCAATCTTGGAAGTCATCTACCTTGCATAACAAACTCTTCTAGGAATGATTCTAACCGATGCAAACCAAGGTCTTTGGTGGAGATGGCCAAATGATTCAAGATAAAAATTTCCAATAAGGGGACTGAAAGAGCAAATTTTACATGCAGGGAGAGAAACAGATTCGATATTTGCAACAAGTCTGGCAGTTTACACATCCTCCTACTGTACAACATGACATAAGAAGTAAATAGAACATGTTTTAACTCTAAATATATAGCCTTCACAACTTTGAGGTTATATATTGTGCCTCCTTTGCAAAGGAACGATTTCCAGAGCCCTAAATGAGCAGCAAACAGCGTAGTGCAAATTCATATATCAACCATCAACCAATGGTGGGGAGGGAGGTGATGTATGAAACAGAAAGTCCATCAGAAAGGGTAAAGTACCTGATAACCTTCTAGCTTTGCCTTCTCTAATAGCATCTTTGAACAACTGACGTCATCATTGCTACAGTTGTATACGAAACAATAAATCAAGAGATATTCCAACATATGCCAACAATCTAACTGTTAAGACATTAGAGGGACCTTGATTGTCTTTGCATGTGTGTAGTGGAGACAGCCTAAGATGCGTAAATAAATACAACAGTAGGTAAAGAAAACATGGGAACCAAGTAATGTACTATTTTACAATTAATACAACTACCATTTTTTTACAGCATCAGGTGCAAGGACTTTGAAGCGCTCTACAAATTCCCTAAACTCTTTACGAGTAGGAAACCCAGCAGTACTGATTCTAATTGCCTCCATAACTCCCTGGAATTATATGAACATCCACTCTCAATATATCCAAAACTATCTATATACTCAGGATACAGGAAAATTCCAATTGCTTAACTTACCCCACACCGAAGTTGTTGCAGTATATTCTGATTCTCAAAGATATCAGGCTTTAAAAGATTATTGGGTTTGACGCAACGAACATAATGTGGTTCTGTATGACTGAGAGTCTCAAGCAAAGCTTGTAGTTGTTGCTGTGAAGAGAACACATGAGAAAATGAGATGAACTACAAAAAGCAAGTACACTGGTGGACTGGGTAGATTGGAACAACTAAATTAGAGTCTTCCAGAAAAAGAACAAATGAGACCTTGAACATAGAACCTATTGATGAGAACTTTGACGATTTAGATGACTCCTCTGGCATGGGTGGGAATAAGTGTGCTACGAATGAGCATTTTGAAGCATTTAAGAGTGCTTGATGCTCTGCAACAACATAGTCCTTGTTCTTATCCAAGAAAAACTCACTTTGATACGTGACCTGAAATCATAACTCATTAAGAAGATGATATCAACCATATTATTGCTTTTCTATGCATAAGTGGATTCATCAATTTCAGATGCCATGTGTCAGGCAGGTGATAGTGTTCGCAGGCATATGTAGTTCGGTAGATTTATCAATTTCATATGCAACTAAGTAGAATCGAAGGAAATAGAACTGCATACATCACCGGCATAGTGACAAATGGTGAAATCTGTTTTTGCCAGCTTTGGCTTGTTAAAACGTTTATGATCTTTGAACGTTTGATAAAGCTTCTCTGCAAACGTTTCATGTGTAGATCTTGGAAACATGCTGCATAAGATTGGTAAGATCAGTTTAGAATCAAACTGCATTATCTTCTTTCAAAATATGACAAAAACATATAATACCTCATAATTTAACAGAAAATATTTGTGTATAAGAAGGTAACAGAATATATTATCATATTCGACCTTGAATGGTAGACAATAGTTAATTCCGTCAACCCAAGTAGATGGGATAAAAGTCACTATTCGTTTACTTTAGTTGAATTAGTAACCTGTCACCAATAAATTTCAGTGGTTTCATTTTCATCAATAAAAGCAGGGTGGTTGAAATGGAGACAAGATGTGGAAGTCTTGTGTGATTGACATCCAATTGAAGCTGAAAAGGGAAGTTATATAGGGAGTGATAAGATCTGATTGATATATGGGAATGAATCAGGGCCACCAAAGACGACACGTGCACAAGGTTTGTGTGGCAGAAATGTAAACGCTGGGATGGATATGTGGCCATACTTTTGAGGGACAAACTGGGAATGAGGGTACATGAAAGAAGATTGGGCTTGCATTGGTTGAGGAGAAGCTGAGAAAATACCAATTTATGTGGTTTCGTCATCTCCAATATCAACTGCTGAATACACTACCCAGAAGAGGAGAGTTAGGAGAGGTAGAGGTCGTCCAAGATTGACAGGGGTAAGAAGTGAAGAAAGATCTGCATGAGTTATGTATACCAAATTAGTTGGTTGATATGAGTATGCAATGACGTGATTCATGTCCCAGAACCGTAGGGTTTCAAAACCTTTATGTTTGCTTTTCTAGTACATGTTGATTTTATTTTCAGCCTACCCAGCTAGTTGTGGGATGAAAACTTTGTTGTTGATTGTGGTGCTGATCTTTCACCAAGAACACAGACAAAAGTAGCTATTTTGAGTGGACACATGTACGTACCAAGCCTCATCCAGAAGAGCAAGGATTCCCCCAGGTTTCTGAAATAACCAAAACCTCAATTAGACCAATAGAGGAGCATAAAACATACTGCAAAACTTTGAAGCAATATAACCCAACATACAGAAATATCGAAATTTGAAGCACTATTCATGAAATGCCAAAAAAATTGGTACCGAAGATGTAAGGACATTGATTAGAAAACCTCACTGAACAGGATCAGGTAGTCATGAAGATGCATTAAATAAATGAAAATTATTGTTTTTGAACAGGTATAGACCTTTTCAATGAGATCTAAAATGTCTTGATTGTCCTCAAACTTTATGTAACTCCAGTTTATTTCCTCCCTAGTATATTCTTCTTGCTCCATCTTGAAAACATGCTGAAAAAAGAGATGATCTTATAAGCAACCAAATTAGGCTGGTAATCTGGTATGCCTTGTTCAGAAGTTAAAAGTTGACGGGAACATGCTATGATATAATATGTACATAAAGTCACAAACCTGATTAAAATGTTGTTGCAGTTTCTCATTAGTTAGATTAATGCAAAACTGCTCGAAACTGCATGGGGCCAATTGGAATCTATGTTAAACTAAAAAAAAAAATATCAACTGATATATCTGGCAAGAAAGTTATTAACTTTGTGCCGTGCCAAATTACCTCTGGAAGTGATTTTGTAAGATGACACAGTTTTTAGCTATAGTAAGTTACAGATATAATCTTGAGGAAAAGGAAAGTTGTTTTTCACTACAGCCCTTTACTGCATGCAGACATTCAACAGAGGATAAAATATAATGGCCACAAATCAAACTTAGAAGTCATTACAGCAGATCAATTATTAATTCCTATAAAGCTAAGGGTTTTCATGCAGTGATCTGCAAGAAATAACCTGGTCTAAATGATGAAACCAAAAGCGTACCAGTTAAGCACCTGTTTGTCTTGAAACTCTCAAATCCATAAATATCCAGAACCCCAATGAAGAATTTTGAGTCGGAATCTTGACCAATGGAATTGTTAATCTTGTTGACAAGCCTGGCCATTCAATAAAATCAAAAGCATGAAACTGAAGGTTCAATAACAGTCCATTCAGATAGAACCTACCAGTCAAATAATTTTGAATAAACTATTTTGGCAAATGCATCCCTACTGATAGCTGCAGCAGTCGGATCGAGGCACTTTTTGATGCTTTCACCACGAGTTACAATCACACGCGTGCAAAAAGAATCTTCAAGAGCCGTCTTATCACACCTGAACATAGCATGAATATCAGAGAGTTGCATTAACCAGTTGAAACATCAAAACTCCAACAGCAAATGCTGCTATAATAAATAAATGAAGAAAATAAAATTTGTTACATGAATAGCTCAGCTGCAGTTGTTAGATGAAATCGAGATTGATCATCCTTAGGTTGTGAGGAATCTGGTTCACTCCCCTTGGCAAATTCAATGTTACCTAAGTGGAGAATTGCAGCAACAACACGGAATATACCATCCTGTAGGAGGAAATGCTTTAGGACAGATTTTAAAATGCAGCTTGATAAATATGATCGGCATGTCAGCACCTGCTCATCAGAACTGATCCCAACAACATCCATAGCCTTCTTTGTGGCAAGGTACTCTTGAGACTCATCCACTCCATTCAGTTTGAAAAAATTTGATTGATTAAGGTAATGAAACGTCTTGGGATCTCCAACTTTGTACTTTTCAGACTCCTAATATGTGAAGAACACGTATATCAGGCCAACGAGGATATGAGAGCTCAATAACAAGCCTATGTGTTTGTAACTGTAAGCAACATGGATAACCATAAGTTTAGAGCCATTACCTATTTTAAGCTCAAAGACATATGGGACTTAATTGATTTACATATAGATTAATGCACTACAAGTTGCAACCATTTATGATATTCAAGCGTTAGTAACATAATTTTCCATGTGTTTTCCTATGACAAGCTACAATTGAACAGAAAGTTCGCTTGAGTCTTTCTTGAGACATGGCAAAATTACTGAATGAATAGTTTATCACACTACAATACCCAATTGGATTTTGAGCAACCTAGAAAGTAATGCTATATACTACTAGATAACAAGACCATGGTGATAATCTGGTGGGAAAGACATCTCCTTTCCCATGCAATGTCATAGATCTAAGTCTCATCAAAGGGGGAAATCTGATGAAAACAACATAAAAAACTGTGTGCATGCAGAAAGCAAATTACCTCGGGTGGTGCAGAGCATAACATGTAAAAGCAATGATAATTTCTCTCAGGGTCAGAAACTTGACAGACACGTGATCTTTCCAGCAAATAAGTTCTTATAGCAGCTCCAGAGATTCTCCCCCGTTCATTAAACTGGATCTCAACGAACTTACCGAAACGACTATCATTATACAACATTCAGTTTAAAACAGTTAATCAACTGAAAAGAAGAGGCATTAGTAGTTGGTAGGTTGAAACTTTTTGCTAGCTTGAACAAAATCTGTGTGTAAATGGTCACCTTGAATTATTGTTTCTGACTGTCTTTGCATTGCCAAACGCTTCTAGAACCGGATTAGACTGCCAACAGAAAGAACTTGTGAAATTAATACAAATCAAGCAGACTAATTTGTGTGTACCTTTAAAAATATTGAACTGATTTAGAGTTTATTTGAGTTTATATTTCTTAACAAGTGACACTATAAGGTTCCTTTAGAACTCAATACTAGTGGCATGCGTAAAGCTAGGATTGCGTACTTCTAAAACTTGCTGCTCCACACTCCGTCGCCCCTCAGATGAAGGCCGACCTCCCATAAACGCAAGATACTGCATAAGATTCTTTGTGCTTTCTGTTTTACCAGCTCCACTTTCTCCACTAACAAGAATTGACTGACTTATTTCCTCGTTAACCATCTGCCTGTACCAGACAAATCCTTGTTTATCACACACACAGTGATTCATTGGAACTCAAAAATTGGAAGAAGAAAAAAAGAGGCAGAGTAATATAGAATGCCTGTAGGCAGCATGTGCAATAGCATAAGGATGTGGACTCAATTCCCCAAGAGCCGCCCCTTTGTATTTTGCCATTATGTCTTTCTCATACAATTGAGGTATTCTTTTAAAAGGGTTCACAGCTATTAAAATATTTCCTGTGTAAGTCTGGAAAACCAGCAGGTAGGTTAACCTTAAACATCAATTGAAAAGGGAAAAATATATCATAAACTACTTTACACATCAAGACCAGGCTGTAAATGGTAGACAGAAAAGGGAAAGAGAACCAGAGAAATCACCAGTCACATGTACTCACATAAATTTCATCATTATCGTACCGACTTTTTAAATTTTGTAGAACCCCCGGTTCGTGCAGATAAGCCAGCTTTGTCATATCATCCACTCCATTTTTAGGAAACTCAGGATCTTTAGGGTACACATTGGATGCATTAATTACTAGCTGTAGGATATAAATACGTCAGGAAACCATGGAAAGGATTCTAAAGTAAATTCTAATTCTGTTTGTTTACACAATATCTTACAATTACTCTTAGAGTCTTCAAGATTATTTTGGACCTCTTGTTAATTCACTTGGTCCTTTCAGTTGTCTAATATATTAGTTTCATTAAACTAGATCTAAGGAAATTCACTTAAATGTTTAGCTTGGTTTCTGGTATTGCCACTCTTAACAGGAACTCTGACAATTCTTTTGATGTACATGCTCAAACCTGAAACTAACTGACAACAGTCATGGAGTAAGAAGTCATTTTGGTCAAACAGAAAAGCCACTTTCAGGCATAGTCTTGTCCCGTTATCACATTTTATTTATGATAATTCATCTGCAACCCTGATTCTTTAACAGTATAGGTGAAGTACTGTATCATGCATCAAATGATGAATGGTCGATAAGAAGCTTATTTTGTTTATCGTGGTGTTTCCACTAGGGTCCTTGAGATGGTTAAACTCCCTTTCTACAATATTTCGCATTCATAAGACCATCTACACATATAAAAGGTGATTGGCCTAGTCTATAACCAAACCCAACCAGAAGAGGCCCCACAAAGCCATTGATCATTTTAACCCATGGGTTTGATTTTAAGTATGCAAACAATAAATGTCTCTCTCAAGGATAGACATAATGCTTTTAAGTTCTATATTTTAACTATTACCAGAACTTCAAAGTATGTATAGTTTTTCCAGTTGTCATTAAACCATTAACCACAATCCATAGCACAATGTAACATACAACAAAAATCAATAAAGTGTTTGAAAGATGTGTTCTAGTGACTTACTTCTTTTCCATTTGAACATTTAACTTTAATATTTGGATCATTGATTTCCAAAACATCGGCATCTATCCAAGCCACCTCAGGATCCTCCAACCAGACTTGTGATCCAACTACTACTTTGGATGGAGCCTCCTGTATGAAAAGAAGGAAAACTATTGATCACTAAATCGATTTCTTTTGACTTGAATGAATTGAGCAACCAAGTGTTTCAGAAACAGACAATACTGGAACAAGTAGCACAGAATATTATCTATAATGGTTAATAATAAAGGATATAAGCAGATGCTCGTATAGATAAACGAAGTAGAACTGCACAAGCCATACAACTTTTCTGGTTACTCATTCCAATAATATCAATAGCACAATATCCTCTAGTGCCATGGGACATAATAATGTAGGGAGCAGCTGAAACAAGTCACTAGTAATGTAGACAGATAATTTGAAGCAAAAGAAAAAGAAAATGACAGTGGTGGAAATATTAGACTTTGAAGAGGGCTGTATCAAGGAGATAATAATCATCTTGTTATCAAAAGGTTATGATTGATAAACCCAAAATAATATATGGCAACTCCATTGTTAATATAAATTTCACTTCACAAATATACATAAATGCCAGACTTCACAATCGACCACCCCACTTCATAAACATGAATGGTGATTATTTAGCACCGTCCCATTAGTCAGTCAGTCAAGTTTGAAAACAATGTAACATAACCATTTCATCACATTAAAGAAATAAAAGATTGATGAACTAGTAATAAGTTAAAAAGTCTTACCATCTAGGGGTACAATCAATATGCAGAGCGGCACACCCCTAAATTTCCTTCTTTAAAGCAGCACGGTAGCCAAAAAACCATCCCAAATTCACTATTTCGAAATTTGGATAATGTACAAAGATCTAATGGTTTTCAAAATAGGTCCAAGTCTGCATAGCCTTAAACCTTTTTTCCTATGAGTACAAGTAGAAATGGAGGGAAGGGGGATGATGATGATAGCGTAACATCATTTGGGAAAAGTTGCAAGAGGCTAATAATGGTGATGAGACCAAAATTATTGAAAAGAAAGAAAGCTCCGGCAAAGTTTCCTTGTCCCCTGAGCCTGTCGTGTTTTTCTATCCCCAATTTTTGGTCGGTGTCTCGGTTCCGGTTCCCCTCTCCGACATGGGTCTTCTTTTCTTCCCTGCGTCAAACAACGAGAGAGACATCGAAAACGAAACCGCTAACGACTTCGTTTTTCCTGTTTCCCACTTTGCCCCTCCTATTCTGGTTAAAAAAACCAATCTACAGAAATACTCCCTCGAATTAAAACTTTTTTCAAGTTTGGTCCCCTCAATTTTCATTTCTGCCTCTTTTGGCGTAGAAGATGTTCTCATGGGTACATTTACATCGGTACTTCATTCAGATCATTAAAAACAAAAATTAGGGGTCGTTTACCAAACACTTACCTTACCGGTAAAATTTAACACTATTATTTACTTATCGGGTAAGATTTAGTCCACCAAAACGACATCGTATGCAACAATTTACACGGTAAACACTTAGTGTGGTAAGAGTCGTCGCTCTCACTTACCGGATAAGACTCTTGGTCATTGTCTCGCTCTTATTGGGTAAGATTATTGGTCCTTACCATATTCATCCGATGTGGTAATGTTACTTGATAAGCGCTTACTCGGGTAAGCATTTGGTAAACAGCCCTAGAGTCTTCTTTTTTTTCTCTCTCTTAACCTATCTTTAGATCTTTATGAATATTTTTAGTATATCTTTTTTCTTCCATTACGTTATTTTATAAACTATCAAAATATAACAACGCTATACTTTCAAATATCCTGCCTTCGTTTTTACAATCTCCCTCCTCTCGTATTTCCTTTGCCGCTTGCTCTTCCATTTCCATTTCGATGGATTCTAGATAGGATGTTATAAAGTAAGAAAAGGTGCTCCAAATATGTATTCATTGACCTTGATTTGATGTATCAAGTATTTTTTGAAGAACATTATCTATTTAGCTACTCGATTATCTTTTAAGATATGGTAATGTTAAATGATATTTGTGGTAACATCAACATGAAAACTAATTACTCAAACAAAATTTAAATTATACTCTCTTCTCTTGTATGTATAATTTCTTACAAGTATTTTTAAAATACATAATACATTTTACGCATATAAAATAAAATTGTTTCCCACAAGATTCTTTCTTCTTGGTACAAAATAATTTTTTTTTTAAATATTGTATTCATTTTGTATACAGAACTCTTTTCTTCTTATTTCTTGTGGTTTTAGCTTCCTTTAGAAAATTACAGTTTGTCTTTATGGTAAGTTGAAAATTGCGGTTAAGGACGATTATGCTCCTTAACCGCCATTTGTAACACTTTGAGTTGTTTTCCTCTTGTGCTTCTCATATGATTACATTTCGGTTTTTTAACAGCTACTTTATAATATATATATATATATATATGTGTGTATATATATATATATATATATATATGAACAAATAACTAAAAAACTGAATCTCTCTCTCTCTCCCTCCTTTCTCAATCTCGAGTTTGTGAAACCCTAACTCACTATCTTCTCTATTTTGAAAATCGAAGTTGGTGGTTAGAGTTGAGGACCGCAAGAAAGATAAAATATGTATGTGAATTTATTTCTTCTACTTTTTTGAAAACAAGGGAAGAGAAAAATAATTAAACCATGCTTGGAAGTAGGGGTATTAAAAAAAACCGTTGGATCGCTCAAATCAGTCAAACCAAACCATTTTTGGTGGTTTGAGTGGTCTAGCTGTCCGGTTCGGTCTGAAAAATAGTCAAACCACTTTGTCTGCTTTGCAGTTTGAACGTTTCTTTGAGTGACCTGGACAGACCAACCACCTAAAATACGCATGTCTTAATGATGTTTATTTTTCACATTGTAGTCTTTACTTTTATGGCCCAGTTAGAGAAAGTTGGGCAAAAATATTATATTTTTAGTTTTTATTTCCCAATTGATTGTGTTATCTAAATTGACAAAATTCCAAAAATCCGTCAAAATTCAAATTCAAAATTCCAATCGCCCTTAGCCTTGCTTATAAAGTTTGCTCAAAATTCCAACCATTGTTATGGATTTACTTTAACTTCTTTTTTTTTCATTTGCTCAATGTGTTTTTCTAATTAGAGATGACATTTTTTTATAATTCGATATACAATTTTTCAAGTGATATTGATAAAAATTTCATTTTAGATATAGATGTCATGGCTTTTTAGTTTAAAACGTATAAAAGACCCAAACCGTCTAAACCTATCAGAACAAACCGCATTTTCTGGTCCGATTTAACCAATTTGATCACTTGCTATCAAACCGCTCGATTTGAAAATTTTCTAAACCATGATGTATGGTTTGTGGTTTTAATGGATTGCTTCTATGTCAAATTTTAACTTTTCTAATAGTCGAAGAATTGCTTTCCAGTTTCAAAAACATAATTTCTAAGATTTTTGTAGTCACGAGCCTCCATTAAGTACACGCTCCTCGGTCTTGGAGCCTCTGCACAGAATTTATATCATTTGCACAGAATTTATAAATAGGATCATATCACCCACTCAGACTCACTGGATTCATACCCATTTCAACTTCAAAAATGGGTGGTTCACAAACCAAGAGTCATGCCAATGGCTGTGAGGTAAGAATCTTGAGAGAGAAGACAAAGCTTCTCCAACAGAAGCTTGACGAGATGATGTACCTCAGAGAAACAGAGTCTCAAGTGTACGAGCAAGAGATTATGGTCCATGCGCTTAAGGAGTCCGAGTGGAAGCGAGACCGTAAATGGCTGCAAAGGGAGGTCAAGAAGCTAAGGAAGGCATTAGAAGAAAGAAACAGAGGAAGACAGATGATGGCAATGGGGAAAAAGACTGATTTGGCATTTGACCAGATGAGGGAAGAGAGAGCTCAACGAGATGAGGCTGTAGAGAAGTGGAAAAGATTGTATCTAGCAATCAAGATCGAGCTTGACAACCTCATCAACAAAGCCCATCAAGGTAACATCAACCTAGAAACTAAAAGATTACAACTTTATGTATTATTGCATCAAGTTGCTGTACCATATGGCATAAAGAAGTTGTACCTGTACATCAATTATCTGAAAGAAGAAACTTTATGCACCATGTGAGAACACAATGATGAGAGTATGACTATGCTGCAGGGGAAACAGAATCTTGGAGAGAAGAGGAAGAGTACCTGACATACGAGCTACGGAGAGAGCTAAAAGCCAAGGAAGAGACTATTGAACTTTTACAGGCGCACATAGCTTCAATAGAGCAAGAAGAATCCAGGAGGGAGCGCGAGGTGGATATACTGCGCCAGAGCTTGCGTATCATGAGCCACAAGAAGATGCCAAAGCATATCTCCAAGGGCTTCTCAAGAAATTTGCAACACTAATTCAAACTAGATTACTGATGCTTGGCTAAACAAGGTATCAGGCATTGTTAAAAAGCCAAAAAGAAAATGCAAGTAGTACATCCAAAGTGCAAAAGTTGATTAAATTTCAGATATTTGATAATCGTAGATGTAAATGTAATCATAGAGTAAAATTTTGAAGCATATGTGTTTGTTGAATGAAGGCAACCACAAATCTGAATACATGAAGTATATTATCTACAAGCATTTTGCCATGTACTGCATGATGAAAATACCATAACCATCTGGAGAGTGAACTTCAGACACTGTTATGTTTATCATACTTCTCTAACTGATGAGCTACTTCCGTCACCAGACTTTGTTTTCACAACAGTTTGGTAATTTGATCTGACATTCTGAAAAAGAGATGAAAAAAGGGTTCATGATCCACAAATTATCCAATGTGATCTCTTAACTAAAGTTAGGACCTTTCTACAAAAGAAAAGAAAACATGTATGCTAAACTTTTCTCTCCACATCATAATTAGTAAGGCGTTCGTTCTCATTGTATTGACATCTCCAATTGGACATAAAATGCGGTTATGAATTTGTTCATGAAAAAATGTAAATTCCACAAACATATAAACTGGGTAATAAGCTTTTGTTTGAAAAAGTCAAGACGTATCTTGTTCTTTGGAACCATGGAGTAATATAGCTCTAGATTATTAACCAAGCGAAACAATACCTCCAGCAGAGACACGTAATAAAAATCCTCCATATGCTGCATAAGAGCTGTTCCATCTCTGATTGAGCGGAAAATGTTTATTTCCGTGTTCAAGATTTTCTCAATGAGTTCTTTCTCACCTTTCATCTGTGCAAATATTCATGGAAAAGAGAGACAAAATTTAGAGGGACCTGTAGTTTGGCATATAGTAGCTCTTTTGACCAAAGCTGCTACATAATTGCAGGAAATGTTACACAGAGCGATACAAACAGTTATAATTTTACAATATCATGGATCTATTAGCATAGAAGAAAAGAATCAAAGGTTATACATATGGAATTGAACATACAAACAGCTGTTGTTGGTTAGAACAAGTCTACATACAGAAATATATATCACTTTCTATCGGCTGGAATGATACCAATGTAGACACAAAGAACACTACCAAAAGTTAAGTGCAAGGGACATAAACTTACAAATTCATTGACAAGAGCATCAGGGGTGGATTCCCCAATAACATCACCTTCATAACCATCTCCTAAGAGCTCTATGTTTTCCTGCAACAATATTTACTAGAATGAGAAAAATTAGACATTAATGGTAATGATCGCAAATACTTGGTTGCAATACTTATTTGCTACCAATTTGAAGGATCTAACACATGCCATCAGATGCTTGCATTCAAAGTAGATACATGCATTTCAAAACTGATCAAACAAATCATGCTTTAGTGATACCAAGCACAAACAATAAAAATGGAAACAATCCCAAGAGCTATGATGTAATCAACTTTGTCCATTTTCTATCTAAGCAACATGTTGGGCCATTGGACGGTAATTTGTTCATCATTGTCTTTGGTTAGAGAGACTACTGACATATGCTTGCATTTTCTAGCAAAATTTGATTTGTATAATTATGAAGTTGGATGCACTGGCTTAGGACCCGTGATTGAACATGGATGGCTACTCACAAGCACGAAAAAAAAAATGCATCGAAAATGGCCAAGAAGAGCTGAAGGGAAATGAAGAGCGATGACAAGATCCAAAATCAACTGTGAGACTTGAGCAAGGATCTTGTTGATTTAATCCTTCAATGCCCATGAATTTCTGTATATGCCTGTTGCTTCAAGAGCTAGTATGTTTATTTCTTTGACTCTCTAATTGGACCAGTCACACGTGATATAGCATATCAAACAATTATGTCATTCAAGCATACAGAAGCAAGTACAAAATTATTACCTAATTGTACAAAGGTGTCTACACATGAAGCAAGTATTCTGTTTTTCCTATATTTTGTTGTTTACTGATAATTCAGCATGCAAGTAAGATACCAACCAAGAAATCCATTCACAGGATTGGCAGCTTTGGCTTGTTTTCTTTAAAATACAAGGAAGAACCAAGAAGCTGATTTTGATATCCAAATACTTTACCAAGGTATTTTCTGCATCTCCAGCTGCTAGATATATAGGATGGGCTACATGGCAATAACCCATCAAACGAGGGATAGAAGGAATAATATCTCTGTGATTCACAACTCTCCAGCTGTCTTTAACTTTCTGCAATGCAAGCAGAAAATGATCAAAATGATGATTCATGGCATCGACCAAATATCTTACCAAGTAAAACAAATCATAAAACTAGAATAATAATAGAATGTAAGGTTAACAAGAAACATCTTTTAATTGGGAAAGGGAGTGAATGAGACTCTAAAAATGACAGCGGCCGATTTGATGGTTAACATACCTGCTATATGATAGGCAAAGAGCCGATGGAAAGAGAGATGGATCTAAATGACCAACTATTATCGTCAAGGACAAGAAATTACCTCATTATAGACTTCAGCAAAATTTTTGTTTCCAACTCTTGGAGATCCAAAGTTGTACATAGTTACAGAAATAGCCCCACTCCTAATAGATGTAGAGGCAGAATATCAATTTTATAAATAGGTTGTCATCATATTCCATACCATTCATTACTTGACAACCAAGATCATAACCTACACAAAATAATATGTAGAGACCTGCAGTCACATATGATCTCCTATTTAAATCATGGTTTACAGTATAACATTGATCTGGCTTTGAAAATGGGGAGTTTATTCAACAGGAACTAAATATAAGGGTGCTCTTCTAGTTCAAATTATTTTGGGAAAGAGTCGGGTGTGAAAGGTGTGCATCAGTGCCACTTAACTTCCTGGTTGTGATCTGGACTCGTGATCATGAGTCAGTACACCTTGCCTCGTAATCTAGGCTGCTTATCATAGGTCAATACACTCTGCAGAGATGACAACTTAAGCATTGGCTGTCCAAAGAAAAGTAGGTTTTAATTACAGAGACAACAGAATCAAGTTATCACTCTAATGCCCATTTGATTTACTATAGCATTGAAAATTGCTGCTCTACTCTTGGGGGGTAGAGGACAAGTCTGTGTACCCCCCCCCCCCCCCCCCGGGGCACCTCTGAGTGGGATAATCTGGGTTCGTTTTGTTTGGATTTATTTACTATGGCATCGAACTTACACTCAGGACTGAGTGGAAGAAGTTATTGAGATGCAAAACTAAATGGAGGTGACCATACACATGATGTTGGAGGAAACATCATATTTATTAGTCCGATTCCAATATCAGTGAAAAGCCACCAGATATAAGCCAACCCTCAATCCTCCAACTGCAGAAAGAACATGATAATCATTTCCTAAATTTAATAACTACAACCAACCTGCTTCTATACTAATAAAAAAGTTATAAACCCAGATGATATTAATCAACTAGCACTTGTATTCCACATTGTTTATCTAAACAGTTTTTAAGTCTCAGATGGTATCATACAGTTCAGAAAATTGTGAAATATGAATTGTAGCTACCAAAACAACATCAGTCACAGCTTAATGATCAAAGTATAGGAACTCCACAATTCATTTGCCAGTAGGATAGCGATGAGCCATCGAATGGAACACTCACTTTGCTAATTGACTGGACGATAGTTCAAGAGCAAGCAAGGTTGCCAGTGCACCGCCTAAACTATGACCTGTCACATAAACATGCCATTTGGATGCCTGATCAGCACCATCGTCTCTGCCATGAAAATATATTTGTTTCGTTATTAATATCAGGCACCATGGATATCGTTATATAATATAATGTTGATTATCAGTAGCCATTAGGAAAGTACCAAGGGTTTTCACGTATTTGTGCATGTATGTACTTATGTGTGCATTTGTGAGTTGTCCAAGAAGACAAATGATGTCATAAGATGACCATGGTAAGACAATCTAGCTAGTTACAAATCTCAAATACTTTATATAGGTTCCAGAAAAGGAAACATGCAACAACGTTTGTCTTAGTTCCTATGTAGTGTAACGATGATTTTTTTTCTCAACTAGTGTAAAAAGCTTTCAAATCTTCCTATTTTGATACCAATTTACCTAATAATCAAGTAAAATCTTAAGTGACACCGGTTTTTTGTTGAGTTGACAATTGTCCTTAAGAAAAGTACCATGTATTGCCATATTTTGCACCAATTGAGAACAATGAATCCCTCCCTATCATCAATCTATGTGAAGGTTGACAAGAAAAGAGGAACATACAGCATCATGAACTTACTGATACCCAGTAGCTGCTTTAATGAGAGAGATGATCCTTGTCCTGACCGAGTCATATGCACTTAAAAACCCTGAGTGAACCTGATGATAACATAACATCATTTGATAATGTATATGCAATAGTGTAGATGCATCATATGAAATATAACATATCATAAGGAGATACCTGAACTTCTTCCTTAAAATCACCACCGATTCTCTCAGGGTTTAGCCTACAAGAGATAAGGAAAAGTAAAGAACAGCATGCAACTGCAGTATCTTTCTTTTTATGGAAGGCATGAAACCACAGCATCTTCTTAACTGTCGCTTATTTCAAGACTAGAATTTTAACTGGAGGAAGAAAACCAATAATTGGAATTTGCATGCTAGAAGACCTTACATCTGCTGGTGCAATGTTAAAAAAACGTTAAAAAGATATTGCTTACATTTGCACATATCACGAGGCGTTTACAAGCAGATAACAGATATATTCAAGGATTGAAGTGTCAAATTGTTTTGATCATCACACCTTCTAGATTATAAAGAAAAAATTGACAAACTATGGTTGATTTAGCAAGGAGCATGGCAGCATATGTGAGTTACGTAACTACGAACATCTTTATCATCATAGAAAGAATCATCATCATGGATCATCAAAGGAACTAAACAGTGCGGAACTATTATCCAAAATTATCAGAGTAGTACAAGTCAAAGGAAAACATAATCATACAAGACAATTTTTAGGTGGCAATGTATAATTACCCGGCAGGAGCCAGCATTAAATCAGTTCGCAAGTCCTTCCATCTAACCTGGATCAGCCCATTATCAGAATATAAGGGAATAAATCATTTCAAATAATTCACTGGTATTGTGGTATTGATTGAATTTGACCTACTTGTTCTGTTCCCCTGAAGGCAACAACTAATCTTTTCCGTGCCGAATCACGCCAAATTGCCACCTATAGTTCTCTGTAAGTCACTTCTTGACGAAATACAGTCATACCAACAGTACTTGACTTTAACTAATAGGAATTAGGGTGACCTGTGTATCGGTGATTGAGTTATCCAAGAAACATATCTTCTCAAACTCCGACTTGATAAAACTTGGGTGGCCCAATGAAGTTGCTAACATCGCCCAAGCCTCCATCGCACTCTCAGCAGTTGAAAAGAGAGCTCTCATCTCCTCGGCTTTTCTTTCATCCAAGACTGGTTCACCATATGAGCTTTCAGACTTCTCACTTTTAAGACATTCAGGAGCATGCTTTTCCTCCTTGGTAACATCCTCTTTGGTATCACTCTTTGCTAAAAGACCACCATCCTTGGTTAGCTCAGAAACTGTAGCATTCAGAACCATCAAAGTTCCCAAGAGAGAATCAGTTTGCCTCAACAAATCTTGTGTGACCTTCTTAATATCAGGAAATGATGACTGAACAGTGCTATTAGTTGAAGTATCGGTCGTTTCATCATCATTAAGAGCATCTTGGCCACTTGGAGTTGCAAGCCCGGCTTCTATATAACCTGCTTCTGCAATGCTTTGTGAAAGAAGTCCTACTCTGCTCAATAAATCAAATCCTTCCCATTTAATCTTTTCAGGAGCAGGGAGACCGAGTTGCTTAACAACATTCTGATTAACGGTATCAGCAAAAGTCTTCCAAAAATCTTTGTCAGATTGTGAACTCACATCCATTTGAGTCACAATGGTATCAACATTCATCTCATCTTTTTGGTTGCTTTCATATTTTAAAGAATCTTCTGGACCTTGGTATGTCTGTACTATGTCTGACTGAGTGTTCAAATTACTAGATATCCTGGAATCTTCTCCAGCATACTTGTCATCATCTGAAGATCCATCCCTCTGGATGTATGCATCATTTATAGACTTTAACTGCCCAAAAGCATACTCAACAAACTGGCGTGCTTGTATAGGTTCTGAGCCAACAACTTTTCTCAACGTAGATTCAAAACCATTATTTCGAAGAAATTCTGGTAAAAAGGGTATCCTCCAATTCTTTTCTTCCTCGATTGTATCAAAGCTCTTAAATTTAACCTGAATCATATTTTATGGAATCTGTTAAGTTTATGAGAAACATACAGATATACCCCCATTCCAAAATAAATGCAAAAACTTCCTTTTTAGGGTGTCCCAAAATAAATGCAACATTTCCCTTTTTTGGCAAAGTTTCAATCCACTATTACCATTCTGTGCAATAGTATGTATTACAAAGCATTGATTCTGGTCAACATGTGTAACTGAAGGGCATGCTAGTTACTAGACACTTCCATTGAACTATGTCCTCAGCTAAACGTATATTCTGGGACAGAGTGAGTAATGTTTGCTAAAGAAATAAAATTCTGTAATTAACAATTGGCTCAATTATTTCAGCCCACCATGAAAAATTAAAGCTTTGGTTGTGAATTCAAATGTGGCAGATAAATAAAGGCACATATCTGCAACGAGCGCAACTCTCGTGTTTAGTTGCCATCATTGGAGTCTGGGCCGTGTCTCAGTCCCAGTGTGGCTGATCATCCTCGAACTGAGGACGGGTTTTTGGAGTTAGCTCACCCTCGCGGGATCGCGGGACTTAACCCAACACCTTACGGCACGAGCTGACGACAGCCATGCACCACCCCTTCGCTCAATGAGAAAATGAGTCCAATTCTAAAGGATCAAACATTTGACTTGTAACACACTATTCCTAGTCTGCAGATTCTCAAAGTCGAAATTCATCTACCAATATATTAAGTATTCCTACCTTACACAACCTACAAGCTCCCCTAGATACCACTTATTCTAGTTAAAATCCTTGGGTTTTTCATCTAGTGACAATATTTAAGTATCTGACTGATCAACCTGAGTAGTCTTTAGAAGAAGTTTCACCATGTCAATCTGATTGAAGGTCTTGTAAATCAAAGTTCAAGATGTGGTATAGCAAGAACCTACAACTCAAGAACTATTTCAGCTGCATCATGAATTGTTTTCTGTGTTCTTTTGGACACCATGGCATCTGGCGCCTTTGGACCAGCTAACCCGTGACATCCATGCAAAGCACCCCTTCCACATGGGGAGGCCAAACTATAGGCCTTTCAGCCAGCAGGCATGACCCGTAAAGAAAATTGACAGCACCAAGTAGGATTTGAACCTAGACATGATGCTTAATGAGGTATTTATAACTGAAGGTCAGTATGTCACACTACAACAGACTTCTTCCCAATCAATAAGTTAGCAAACAATTCAAAAGAGTTGTGTACACCAATCATTAAAAAATATAAAGGAACAACTAAGGTTGGCTGATACATGGAGCTTTCGTGACCAATCATTAGATCAGCAATGTAATATTCATTCACAGAAACATACCTCTAGCTGTACCTTTCCACCACCTCCCATCCCCTCCAATTCAACTAGCACCTCATGTGAATTTCCTGGTGAACATGGTTGTATGATTTAGTGACACTATGAAGACTTCTATAGTTCATAAAATCATTTTTCTTCTCTGCCCCAGAATGATCGCTATATCCGTCAACCATTACAAGAGAACTGGGATATCCTGTGTTAACTTATCTAATTCGTGTCTTTTCGAATTTGTACATGGAAAGAGACTACATGGCATAAGAAATAATTGTCTACTCGCATAGACACTTAAGGTGCATGGTTTAGTGACTAAAAGCATCCAAAAATTCAACAAACAAGTAAAGAAAACTTACCATCACAGATGGACTCCAAATTGACACTGGAATTTCCCATACGTTTATGAGGGGTCACAAGATTCGCATCCCAAGCTGCAACCTGAAGTACAGGCATGTGACATAAAAGACATAAATCATCAGGATTCCGGAATACAAGATTATGTTGTAAAAAATGAAACATTTGATTTCAACCAGGCATAACAACAGAAAGTCAGTAATGACCAAACGTAACAACATATGCTGAAAAAAATTCTGGGTATGTGTCGAAGGTCTGGCTGTACCTTTTAAGTTATGATTGTGAATTAGAGGTATAAGGAGTCTGTATCATCATGAACTTGACAAAGCTATAAAAAAGGCTTAGAGATGATGTGAATAAATATGAAATACTGAATAATCAATGAGTTTGCTTTGTTTGGAGACAAATAGGTAGTTTATGAGACTAATAAATAAATAAAAGGTACCTCTATATATATATATATATATATATATATATATATATATATATATAGGGACAATATCAAATATTAACCAAAATTTTTTGTGTTAACTTTGCAAACCATGTCAACCAATCACAATTTATTCTTCTATTAGGTATCTATCATGTTCACAATTTAATGTCAAGGGTAATTGAGTCATTTCATTTGCTATCTAACTCCCATACCATTAAAGAGGAGWTACAAARTCATAAAAWTCYTAAAAATATACATTTATAATATTGATATTTTTATTTATTTTTTTATTCTTGATCTTCCATTTTTATTGTTTTATGAGTTTTTGATTCGTGGAGGAAACACGATAGTAAAATCTTCGGTATCGTTCAAGCTATTATGGATAAACACATTGGAAAAAAAAATCGACAACATTGAGAAGATTAAAATGGTTTATGGTGACAATCGGAGTTCGAGTTCGGGAAGTGAAGAAATTAACCAAAGCGAATGTCTTGGTAATGRATTAATATTTTATTAAACTCGTTTTAATCGAAATTATGCTTATTATGATGTGTTGTGTTTCTTGTAGTTCATATTGTGTTGATAACTTTTTTCTTTAATTATTAATACGTATCTAATTCACATGTTCAAATGGAAGTACATGCACGACTCATTTCATATTGTCATATTAATACGTATCTAGAGGTCATTGGTAATGCTTAATTGAGAAATCGCATAGTTAACTAGAGTTGATTAGGAATTAAGGATTAGATCGATTGAATACAAGTGTACTGAAAACAAGTAGCATGGCATCATGAAAATACAAAGAAGAGCATGAAGAAGATAATGAAGGGAAAAAAAGGAATTTATTATATTTGCAAAATTTATCAATACTTTATGGGCGCACAATATTCAAGAAAAGATTAGAAAGTTCACGAATAGAGCAAGTACGGAACTAGAAAATGGTGAAGACATGATTTAATATTCAAAACACATAGATTATATTAGCCCTATTTTGAAATGATAAAAGTTGCAATTTGGTGTGCTTCATATTTAGACTCGATGATGTTCATTCTTGATTGTGCCTTTTTGTTTATAATTACTAGATTGTTATCCATTTAGGATTTTAATTTTGTATTCAGACTTTGGATACTCTGCGATTCTGTTATGTAGGGTTCTCGATAAAATAGACCAACCCCTTGTTGCTTCAGCCTTATGTTTCTTTGATTACTCCAGAGATCATTGTGTTATTTTATTTTATGAGAGATGCTTACAAATGTTGTTTTTATCTCAAAATAAATCCATTTTGAAAAATGTTCCGTATTTTATTATTTTGTACTCCACATCCATGATAACAATTTGGCATGCCTGGTGTTTCTATTCCGACAATAGGTAGGTAATCAGGGTTGACATGGGTTGTTGAAGAGAGCTGCATGCTTTTGAAAGATGTTTATTTAGAAATTTTCTTTCAGTTTACATTGGTGTGGATATTGTAGATTTAGATTTGGAAAGCATGTTGTATTTATATATCGGAGATGAGTAATAATGATTTACAATGATATTAAATTACTGATTTTTATTTTGGAGATACATAGTGCTCTGTTCGGTTTATTTGGGGTGTGACTAGATCCTTCCTTTCTATTTCAGGAAGAAAATGTTACACATGCCCTCTCTGTGGAAGATCAGTTTTTTATCAACTTGCCAGAGATGTATCTAGCTTTACATGTGATACAGTGGACTAATAAAAAATTACAAATGCAAAACTGATCAAGGAGCTAAAACCATGAATGTCAGAATATTGTAGAAACATCTGATAGACAGTAAACCAACTTTAGGAATAAAGTAGGGTAAAGTAAACCAACTTTAGGTGTAAAGTAAGGTAGTGACACTGACAGGAAAGACTCTTATCCTTTGTCATCCATTTCTACTCTTAATGTCTCAAGTACCTGTCTCTAAGGTGTCTTGCATAGTCGTGGATATAATCTCCAAAGGGTATTTGACAAGGGGGAAAAAGTGAGAGAGAATTTAATTAAATTTTTTGTAAATATCCAACAAGACTGTTGACTCATATGAGTCCTCTAAAGTTTGATTACACAACAAAATCTCTTATGCAAGTATTAGCAGAAGTAACAAAAATGATAATATGTTAAACATGAAAAAAACAAAATGCCTACTTAATTTGATGTCCAGTACTTAAATATGCTACAAAGAGATTGATAAGAAAAAAAGTGAGCCCCACTCCATTCAGAATTCAATGCCAACCAAAAAAAAGAAGAGTGCAATAGCTTACTAAGAATACCACTTGGAGTGGACACTAAATTTGTTCACTTAAAATGCATTAACGACCTGAAGATCATTCGTTGGCGGATTCTTGATGTATAAAGTGAGTTCCTCATTCCAAGTTGGTTCCTTTGTCCTGACAGAACTCAAAGATTCCTTTAGCTTTTAAATAAAAAATTCATTGAATAAGTTGCATATATTTAGATAAGTTTAACGAATGAAGTTATATGTAGCATTTTTGTAGGCAATGAATTCCTTGCAATGAGAAAATAGACTGTGTATGTGTGATTTGTGAATCCATGGTGGTGAAGCGAACATGGGAGTGACCCAAGGGAGTGCAGGAGCCAGGGGGCTTCTTCACTGTGAGGAATTTCACATTCACATATTCCATATAAGTTGTAAGAACTCAATTAATTCACTGCAAATGTTAGTTTAAGTATCTTTGGAGCCTCCATATAAACTATGGAAAGATTCAAACAAACAACAAGAGATACCACAAGAAACAGCAACTAACATAGTATCATTGTTCCTGAGCATGCAAAGGCATATGGAGCTGGGTCTCTAATGCATCATAAATCTGTGGCTTTAAATGAATGAGAGTGTCTATGTATGTATTGCTTCCCGTGATCCACATGAAATTGTTTATTTCATCATAGGTTCCTCAAAGAAAGAAGACTGATTAAAATTACATACAACTTAACACTCAACTAGGCCCAATGGTGAAGTCCTTTCCCTGGGAAAAAGCGCATGACTTGATATAATTTTGAAGTCCTTCCACAACCCCATTTTATGTACATTTTTAATCATCTTTTTGGTAAGCTATGCTGCTGCTTCTGGAATTGTTGATGTCTAGTTAAACATATATAGTTGTTTATTACTAGAAAGTACATTGATTTGTCTTCCACCACAGAAAATACAAGCCAGTTAGACAGTTATAAGGACAATGAGAACAATTCAATATACTTAACCCCCATTTAACATTGCTTTTAACGATCTGACTATCCAATTGCAACACCACATATGGATCACTTGTTCCCTGAAAGAAGAAACTGAGGATCACATGAGAACAATTAAAGCTGATAAATGGGTCTTTACACATAATATAAGAATAAAGCGTATCGATTTTCTAATCCCAGAAATTGACCAAATGGTGCTACCATGCTAAATAAATGTAAAAGTAGAACACTTAAAGCAAAGCAAATACATGCAGAAGAGAGGTTACCCATGGATCCATGGCAGGAAATTCATAACCATTCTTAAGCTTTACAAATAACTGGCCATCATAAATCTCACGAAGAAATGACCTGACAAAAGAAAGCCAAACTTCAACCTTACAAAGTCTCAGACAAAGATATCTGCCAGAACCTAGAGTCGGTAGATAACTTATCACTGAAACGCAAATAGTTATAATATATGCTACGCCAAAAGCTAAAAATGATGCAAGCTGCTGGCACCTATACCAACTGGCTCATTACCAACTAATACATGCATAAAAGTTCACCAAAACACAAGCCTTCCATGACTCAACTGGCTTTAAAAAGAGTGAGTAACTCGGTCAACTTAAGGAAGCTCCCACAAAACTTGGATTCACTACCAACTTAAAAATTGAAATCCATTTCTGGTTCTTTGAGATGAGGGAAAAAGAAGATGATAGCATACTCTGAAAGAATCACAGTCTGACAACCAGCGGCATCCACCTCGCTCTTTCCAATATTTTCCTGATAAACAACCAAGAGGCACAAATCAGATTCTCTGTTCTATTTATTTTCTATACGTGGATCTTTATACAAGAGAACCACAAGATCATAATTCCCCCGTAAGAAGATGCATCTCTAACATAATTAATAGGTGTAAGCAATCTTGAAACTCTTGATGTAAACTGCAAGAAAAATCTAAAGGAATTCTTTTACGATTGCATAAAGATTGCTTAGAGGCAGAAGACCAAAACTTAACAGTAGGGGTTGTATAGGCTTCAAATGCAAATCCGGCAAGAACGACCGCACGATTAATATCAAATGGAGTCCTTTCAATCTCCTCGTGCAACAAAGCGGTTTCCATATCGGAAGTTGATTTATTGTTGTAACAAAGTGAAAAATATCCATGGCGACTTCTAGTATTGGAGCTTGAAAGCGCGAGTTTCAGCGAAAAGGGTGCGATGAGATTAGGGTTTCGGAAGAAGGGAAATCTTGGTAAGTTAAGGTTGGGAGTAGAAGAATAGAAGAAGTAGAAGGGAGTTTTGTAGGATGGAAGATTGGCAGCCATGGATAAGAAATGAAAACCAAAGTGTATAAGGGAGTGTGTGCTCAGAAAAAAACTGTGAACTCAGGGAAAGAAGAAGAATGAGAATTCTAGAATGTAGACATCGCGGTCGTCACCGTAAACGTTAAAACGTCGGCGCCAACTCACTTAACGGTCAATTCAAAAAATATCTAATACAATAATTATAATTCTAAAATTCAATTTTAATTGAATGTTTAAATGTTGGAAAAATACACACAAATTTTGTAAAGTTTTCATTTCTTAACAGGCCACAATTTTTTTTAAAAATATAAAAAAAGTCCAACAAATTTTGTTTATAAGATACAGAAAACCCAATAGATCAATAACAAAACAAGTCAAAAGAAAAAACAGACACAATCAAATAAGCCACTAGGATATAAATCTCGTCAAGAATCTATTGAACATCGAGAGCTAAAACCCCAAACTAGACTTCAAGATGCAAATCCATTGTTTCCGGATGAAGAAAACAAGCATTCGTGTGGGTTACAACACGAGTCCGTCCATCTTACCTATGTCTTTTTAATCCGATTCGAAATCCAAAAGCAATTGGATTTTCATACACTAAATTTAGAATCGGTTGCTCACAAATCGAAAAAACCAAGTTATTCCGAGATCACGTATATAGCGAACCAAAAAGTTGATTGCCACACCATTCTTGTAGACCGCCGAAATGACATAATGGATCTTGAGTTGATACATTACACGACATTAATTTAAAAACGATCCTAATCAACATTTTTATATTTAGAGATGAGCCTTTAAGGACAATCTACGGATACATTCTTATAGTTAGATAACCTTTTAAACACGATATGCAGATATAATATAAAAAGACATATACGATATAAGAGGTAGTTCATTCAACAATATTGGGCAATCGATTCCACATACAACTCTAACCTTCCATGTCACAAACTAAACCTCAATTCGGTTCTTTCTAATGGTTAAAAATTAAATTATATGCAACGTTTGGATATTTGCTGTGTACTTTCACAGAAATTATACAACAAAAGCGTGTGTGTGTGTGTATATATATGTATATATAATATGGCTTCTATAAAAACCCACCATTTATTACAGACGTCACCTGTTAATTATACAACTGCTCTACTACTATTACCCCCATACCATATTTGTTTTAGTGCATAAGTGCAACAACAGCTTCCTGCACCAATGGCTCAGTCACATGCACGAAATGCTCAGCCTCCCTCTCCACTTGCTCCCAACATTTGTGCGCATCTTTCCCTTCTTTCATCTTTTTCACAAAAGCCACAAACTTCCTCCAGTTATCAGCCTGAAACAACTCAGGGTTCATCCTTAGATACGTAAATGCGCACATCTCGTCATTCTCAGATAACGAAGCCGCCTTCAAGATCTGCTCATGTGCATAATCATCGTATCTTGGCAAAGCATTTTCTCCAGCCAATGCTACCTGTGCTTCTTGGGTGGCCAATGTCACTTGTTGCACCAATTTCTCAGGTGCGCATTGAGCCTCTTGAGGCTGCTCATGATCACGCATCTCAATGCATGTGAAATTGAAAACTGCACCATGGCGGGCCAACATTCTGGCAATTGGAAGGTAACCATCTCGGTAACGGGTGTTGTAGTACCCTGCAGTGAGTTCGGGTGCATGGGATCGTGTTCCATAATGCCAGTGGATACCTGCAACCTTGACTGAGATCTTGACGCTCAGGTTCTCAAAAATAGAGGTGGCAGATGACAGTATCCTTTCTCCATGATCTAATAACATTTGAGAATACCAGGAGAGGAAGAAGTCACCATACTCACTGTTCCACCCACCACATTCCTTCTTGAAGAAATTGGTGTCTTCGGGCCAATTGTTGTATTCCCCTGCATCCGTAGGCCCAGTGCTGCCCCATTCTGGCTTACCATAGTTTTCAGCTGCAGCTTGCAAGCTACTCAGCATATACTGCAAACACAACACTCATCATGTAAACAATTGATGCAACAGCCTACAAACAAACACAAGAAAGAAAAATTGTATATAATACCTTGTCGTAACACTGGAAGGCTCCAATTCCTGGGAATTTCCATATTCCGTCTTTCTCTGGGTAAGATGGGTATCGAAGCTCTCCAGCTGGACCCATTCCAACTTGAATTTCCTATATAAACATAGAAACCCCACATGCCAAATTAACATATATATATATAATAGCCAAAAACCAATCATCATGAACCCTATATATGCTTGTATCCCACATACAGCTTAAGTTTAGAATATCTGGGTACTTGAAATCTGAAGTACAAGAATAAGATTCAATAAAATTTTATGACGTATAGTTCTTTCAAGTTTGAGCCTTTAAACTAGTAGCAATCAATGTAAGTGTTAAGAGACAACAAAAATACCCTACTCATTGTCGATTGATTTGAAATCAAGAGCCCCCATTTGTAATATAAATCAAAATGTTGCAGGTAACATACATAATAGATAAGAATGATTACCACAATGGTGTCACCAAGAAGATGACTGAATTTGTCCCTGAAAGAACGCATGTAGTCAGAGTAGCACTGAATGGGCGTCCTGCCCTTGAGGCATGGGATGGTGTCGCAACCAAGGGAAAGATATTCATTATTCCTCCTTCCCCATTGATCTGTGTATGCCAGGTCAGGGTCATCATTGATTTCTTCTAATACCCACTTTGGAAGGGGTATACTGCAAAAGTTTGATGAGAATGTTAAAAAAGGGGTATCCATGTGTTACGTAAATACTGATATGATAGTGTAAGGTAGAAATGCAGAAGCAAACTTATAAAGCTTTTTGGTTAGTTTAATTGAATAATAAAGCATAGGAAAGAAGAAAATGACTGACGTGCAAGAGTCACCAACGTTGCCGCCACATTGATGGAAGGACATCACCGCCTGTACCTTTAGCCCATGCTTCTTGGCCATCTCCAACAGCTCCGCATAACCACCCCAATTATACTCTCCCGGAACATCCCTTTCCACCAATCCCCACCACACATCCATCATTATCCCCTCCACTCCGGCGCTCTTCAACGCCTGTAAACTCGCGTTCATCGCCTTCCTCCTATTCACTCCGTTCCCCATCGTCACACTATCCAACGGCATCATCACATAAACCGGAACCCCCTTCCCTTCCTTGTTCCCAACACCGCCACTTGTATGTTCTCTCGGAGCTTCCATCAACGCCTGACACGCCACGGACAGATCCGCCCTCATTCCGCCTCTTACGGGACTCATGGGCGGAGACGGCGATAGCCTATCCATCTCCGCCCCTTGTTTCTGTACCGAAACACGGATATTCGCAGGTGGTGACCTCCACACAGCCGACGCACTAACTGCTGCTGTTGTTGGTTCTCCTCCATCGGATGCGACCGGAGTCGCAGACAAAGCTCCGATCTGGTTTAAACTCATCGCCATTAAAGTTGTTCCACAAAATTGAGGAAATGAGAGACGATTAACACAAGACGAAACTCGGATTATGGATATAAATGTACAAGTAAATCTTAATTTGGCAAGAATTTCTCCTTAAATCTGCTACGAAAGAGATTTGTTGTGTGAGATTCGATGAGAAAAGGGATGTGAAGGCGTTGGGGGTATATATAGGAATAGGAATAGGAATAGGAACAGGAGAGTTCGAGATTCAAGAAAGACTAACCGAAATATGCACAATTTAAGTTGTAAGCAATTAGAATTTGCAATATATATATATATATATATAATCTACAGAGATGATCTTTAACGAACCGTTAAGCTTGTAACACGTGGAAGAGTATGGGCCACGGCGGAGGCGACGGCTGTTCAAGTCACGTGCGTTGGACGGTGGGATATTATGTTGCGTGAAGCTTCCGCTTGAATTGACAAGTACCATGTGACACTTGGGGAGAGCTGACTCACCCATCATCCAAATGAGGTGGGTAAATGGAGACCCGCCCATTTGAATGAATGGAACCACGGAGTGCGGGTCGGGCCAGAAAAACAATTTTGTAATCTTTTATACACATCAGATCAAATTAATTATGTCTATTTGTTTTAGGGGAGTGTTAATGACGGGGGGTGCTAATGGCACCCCTTATAGGGGTGTGTTGATTGTGTTGGGAATTGTGTTGAGATTAAAATTTAGAAAACATCAAATCAATTTTAAAAATATATTATATTTAATTATTATTAGTATTTAATATATATATATATATCAATTAATTAAGTTATATTATATAATTATATATATAATCTTTATATACTTTACATATATTATATAATATTTTTATTT